CTCCAATGATTCATAATCTAGTCTAGGAATCAGCAGACTATATAGCCTGTATACCAAATCCAGCCTGTTTTTGTACAGCCTGCAATCTGAGACTTATTTTCCATTTTTAAATGAGTGTAAAAAACAAAAAATTAAGAATGTGCAGTGAAGACTGTATATAGCTAACAAAGCCAAAAATATTTAGTATCTGGCTCTTTAAAGAGAAAGCTTGGTGACAGATCTAAACTATAAATTTATTTCTCATTTTATATGGTGTGGCTAGATGAGTCAGCTGTGGGGCTTCAAATGTATATATGTAGGTGCCCAGGCCCACCCTTGATATGATCTAATTGTCCTTAGATGTACAAGCTATCTTGGTCTTAGCAAGCAGGGTGATTTTAGTGAAATGGAACCTTGGGGTTGGAAGAGAAAATTAAAGTTTATCTAGTCCCCAAGTATCTTTTCCCGCCTCAATTTTCAAAATAATTACATAGCAACTACTAAGTGCCAGTTCTAAGCTCCTCACTGGAGATCAATAAATATATAAGGCAAGGTCTCTATCCTTACACACTGTGGTTTGGTTGGTGGGAGTACAGAGGTCAAATATTGGGAGGAAAAAAACTACAGTAAAATATAACTTAAAAGCTAAAGAAGAGGCATGAACAATATAATGTAGCAGCTCAGAAGGTAGAGTATTTAGCTCTTTCTAAGGCCATGTGGAGAGCAAAATTCATGGATATAGTGAAAATTTCACAGAGGAGGTACCAGTTTGATCTGAGCCTTGAAATGTAAACAAGAGAGGTTGCCATACTAAACGAAAGGGACTGGGAGAAAAGTGTAGTTGGATTACATAAAGACCCATTTTAGCTTTTTTAAAAAAATTTTTTTTCTACAGAAAGCATCCCAGAGCCAGTGCAACGTTTGGAGGATAAGGGCCAGAGATAGCTCTAAGACAGTTTGGTTTCTTTGTTGCCGTTCTGTACTTTCTGCCAACATTTTTTATTGTTATCATTATTTATATGTAATGGGAAAATATCTAAATTTAACAGTATGATAAATATCATATCACCTGGCTTAAATTTAGTTCTATAGTTTCAACCCTGGCTAAAGAAATACATAGGGTCCATAGTCATTTCTGTAATACAGTAGGAGGCACACTGGCCCTAATCAGAGGTCTTGCTTCTTACTATGAGGTTTTGGCTGACTTGACTACTCATTGAGGTAAACAATTTGGTTTTTGTCTTTGGATTTTCTTTTTTTTTTCTTTGCTTTGTTTTGTTTTGTATTTCAGCTCATGCAATCATGTGTGTGAAAACTGTTATATTTGTATATACATTTTTCTTTATCCTTTTAGTTACATTTTCACCACTTCCTAGGGTCAGAGTACAGGTAAACCACATTTTGCAAATGATGAATGTAACAAGAAATATTAAGTGGCTACTGTAAGCCAAACACTCTTCTAGGTGCCGGAGACAGATGAAGCTAAATGAGATAGTCAGTGTCTGTTCTCATGGAGATTGTCAGATCTGCCCATAAGCTTGCAGTGTAGTAGGAAGACAGACATGTAAATAGTAGTGTTTAATAAACGTACATACATTAAATATCTGTTTCCTTTGTTGCCTTATATGTACTTACTTATTTTATCCTCACAACAACTATAGATATGGCCATAGTTCATGGAGCCTACCTTACAGGCATTGTTTTTATGTAAATTGTAAAATGTACTTTAGCGTGAGAGGTATAAAAATGTGGGAGGAAAGTGTTAAAGTCAGCAAAGTGTGGGTATTACTACCTCCGGTTTTACAGACAAGTAAACAGGCACGGAGAAGAGTGATTTTCTGGAGAATGCAGAATTGGTGGTGATGTGAGGATTGGAACCAGAAAGTTTGGTTGTGAAGCCCGTGATCTTATTCACTGCTTCACACAGTACCTTCTATAAAGTAGGGATCAATGAATTGTAGGCCAAGTGCTGTGGGAGTATGGATGAATCAAATTGATGATACCTTGAAAGATTTAGAGGAGGTGATTGTTGAGCTGGGTTTAGAATCATGAGTGAGATTTTCCTAAGCAGAGGAGAGGAATGAAAGTAACGAAGATTTGAAAGTTGATGTAGTGTTAAAGTGGGCATGGTTTAACTTGCCCTTCTCAGTTCTCCCAGTGTTTCTTTCCATTACTTCCCAATACTAGTTACCCGGGTTTGCCTTAACTGCCATTTTGTCAAAATTTGCCAAAATTGTCTATTGTGTTCCAATTCCAAGGTATGTCCTTTGAGATGCCCCCATTTTTCAAAGTTGCCTATCCCTCCTTTACCTAATAACTTGCGTTCAGAGCAGCTGAAATGATTCTTAACACCTGCAAGACTAAGTCACAAGATGTGAGTTTATCAGTTATCTTACCTCTCTGACCAAGATGATACCCCTAGGTATGAGTTTAGTTGTTTCAGTGTTCAGTTTTCACTGTTTCTCTAGTCAACACCCATCAATCTAAAAGAGATACCTTACTGAATGCCTACCTTAAGTTTGTCACAGAAAAATTTACAATTGGTAACTAAAGATAAGTGAAAAGTATAAATAACATAATTACAGGGATTTGGATGTTTGAGAATCAAGTCATATCTACCATAATGTAATAAAATAAGCATGATGTATCATAGTTAATACAGGTGGTGTTGAGTCCATCTCACTGCTTTTATAATTTCCATTCTGTGCATCTACCCTGCTTTTAAAGAATACTTTTTTTAAGTTATCGGAGGAAATTACATTTGCATACTTTAAAGAATTTCTCAGTTTACAAAAGGAAGCACCCATAATAGTAATAATAGCTAATATTTGTTGAGTGTTTCCTATATGCCAGGTACCATTAAAAGTACTTTCATGGGGCCTAGCCAGTTAGCTCAGCTGGTTAGAGCGTAGTGCCGTTAACACCAAGGTCCAGGGTTTGATCTCTGTACTGGCCAGCCACCAAAAGAAAATCAAAACGAAACAAGTACTTTCATATATTAATGTATTTAATTTCCTTAAAACCATAGGTACTATGTTTCTCTTATTTTGTAAATGAGGAAACTAGGGCCCAGAGATGTACTGGTGCTGGAATTTGAAACCAGGCAGCTTGCCTCAAGAGCCCACATGCTGAAGTATTATGTTGTATCTTCTTCTGTAGTACTTAAACACAGTATGTTTGCAATCTTTTAGAAATTTTGTTAATAAAAAACAGGCTAGTTGTCCATTTAGAAAAACTATAGAACATTACCCCGTCTAGAAAATGATTGAAATATAGAAAGATGTGCGGTTCTAAATGTTTATGTGTTTGTCCAGAAGTAAAGTTTTATGGAGATGGCTTGATTGTTCTTTATCATTACAAATGTTTGCTTTGTCAAACTATTATATGCTCTCAATTTGCAGTTTTAAAAATGGTGCCATATTTTGTATGCCTTCTGAAATTACGAGTCCTTAAAAGGCTATGGAAGTATTTTACTTATTTCATTTGAATTATCTAATTTGAATGGGAATGAAGTAATAATGCTTATAATGTTGTTTCTCTTGCCTATCCTCCCAACCCTTGCTATAATAACTTAGTTTCTTGTACCCCACAAGACCAGATTTTATTAGTCTTTGACTAAAGAGTGACATATAATAGTGATTATTTTATCTTGTGTGTTAAGTGCATCAACAGAACTTATGAATTTCTGGTATTGCTTTTTAAAGCCTAATGTAGTTTGTGTGAACTAGGTAGACGCTAAATAGAATTAAAACAATTTAGGTTAGTCATAGAAAACTGATGAGCCTGTCGTGTAACCCCCAATATCTAGAACATCTCTCAGAATTAGGAAATAAGTAAAAGCAGTGTCTAAATAACAAAAATATGGTAAAACTCATGCACTTTACTTTTAGAATCATCGCAGCCCCTTGACCCTCTTAAATGCATTTTTTAGTAGCAGTTAAAACCATATAAGTTAGCTAGTTCCCAGCCAACAGTATATTATTAAGGTAGTGCAGGGTGATGAATATTAGGCTGATATAGATATGTATAGTGATGGTATTGTAGCCAAAAGAAAGACAAACACTAAAATCCAGTGAACTGCACTTAGATATAGTGTGAGCCCACTTAACTTTTGGGACAGATTGGTCTGTATGCTTTATTCTGAAGGATAGGTTCAACCCAATGTTTCTGTCCTTTTAAAAAAAGGTTGAACTATGATGATAAAACTCAAGAGTGTAAAACATTTGGAGAAACATTCAAGTTTCTGTCAAGTGATTTGCAGTGTTTGCTTATATGATGTTTTTACCTTTGAGAATGTTAATTAGATGAGGAGTTAATGCTTCCTAATTTCATAGACCCTGGTTAAGAGAGTAAGTATAAACTATAATTTTGTCATTTTAATCTATCCATATGTATGTATTTTGCTTTTGGTTAATCAGCTATGGGTTAGTGTTTAAGAAACACAAGTTCTGGAGTCAGATCTATATTTAAATCTTGACCCCCCCACACACACCCCCATTATTAGTTAATGTGACTGTGGACAAGATGACCTCACTGAGCCTTAGTTTCCGCATATATTCATAAATATTGAGCAACTACTGTGTACCAGGCACTATTTTAGGAGTTAGGGATACGTCAGTGAACATTAGAGGGGAAAAAAATTCTGTCCTCATGGAACTTAGATTCTACTTGGAAGAGAGAGAAATAAATGAGAGGAGGATAATAGTATCTATATTTTAGGGGTGTTTTTTCAAGATTTAAGTAGGTAATACATATAAAATTTTCTATCCATAGTACAGAGTAAATGTAGGTATCTATTATTTTTTTGTGACTGATTCTTGCGATATCATGCTTAGATTTGGGTTAGGATAAAATTGTTTGTTGAGTGTATTTTGTCATCTTTCAAAAATTGGTAATTAGTAATAATTTTTCATTGGTGATGTGAAATATGACAATTTTCTCTAATATTGTTGAGGGGTATAGGGAAAGGAGGACAGCAATGAATCTCATCAGTATATATACTTTGCTTTTCTTTCCAACAGCCACCAAAAAAGACAACTAAAAGAGAAAAGCCTAAACAGAAAGCTACTTCTAAAAGTAAAAAATCTGTAAAAAGTGCTAATGTTAAAAAGGCAGATAGCAGCACTACCAAGAAGAATCAAAACAGTTCCAAAAAAGGTATGTTAGAAAAGGCATTATCTGCAACCATAAAGATACATATATATTGCACGTAGTATTTAAGTGTGTGTGGAAAACCGGTAAACTGCAAAGATCATTGGGGGGGATAGTAGTATATCATTTTTGTACAGTTCATAATTTTTCAAAATTGACAAAATTTTCAATGTATGTTTTATAGGTACTCTATACAGTGGTGATATATAATGATTTTTGGATTCAATACCCCTTTGAGAATTTGAAGGAAGCTTATAAAATTCTTCCCAACCTGTCTTAAATGTTAATTTACTTTGCTATGTAAGAAAAATTTTTATTCACATTTAATAAATTATCTTACTTTTAGAAAGTGAATCTGAGGATAGTTCAGATGATGAACCTTTAATTAAAAAATTGAAGAAACCACCTACAGATGAGGAGTTAAAGGAAACAGTAAAGAAATTATTGGCTGATGCCAACTTGGAGGAAGTCACAATGAAGCAAATTTGCAAAAAGGTAATTTGGCAAATGTTTAGATCATTTGCTTTTATTTGAAAAATTCTTTCACCCATCCCTTAACTTGAAGCTAGATCCTTATGTACTTTCATTCACTGAATAAATATTTATTGAACTACTGTATATCAGGCACTTTATAGGTGCTAGAATACCACATTAAATAATAAAACAGTGATAAAAGTCAAAGTCTCTGTCCTAATGAAGGTATTCTATAAGTAACAATAGAATGAGTAAAATGAGAGTGATGCATTCTGAACCACATAGGAAACTTGCTTTTCCTGATCTGGAAACTTTATTGATACATCTTCAGATTGTATTATTTAAAAAAAGCAGAATCTCATGGACCACGTTATTCTCTTGTAATATGATAAATGAGCTATTATAAATTAGGTTTTTAACTTATTAAACTTCTGTGGTGTTCTTGTAATACTTCTCAGGAAATAAAATGTCCTAGTCTTGAATATGATTCCATAGGGATTCCATACCCTGGGCCAAAATTGGGAGATTTTAGAATCTCATTTCTTATGGTAAAATGAAATTATAATTTGAAATGTACCAAAGGTAAAATATTCCATATATTTTTTAGGACATTGATTATTGTTTGTTTATTCATTCAGCATTCATTAATCCTCTACTGCATATCAAGCACTGAGCTAGATGTTCCAGGTAGAGCTGAAGAAATCATTGCTCAGCTTTAAAAAGGGGCTTGTGGTCTAGTGGGATAAAGACAAATATCTTAATTAGAGTATAGTATATGAAGAACAGCATGGAAGGAGCTACAGCACCACATAACAAACAAGACCTGCTGGGGATTGGGACAGGGGTTTGGGGGAATCAGGAAAAGCATCTTGGAACTGTGTTCTCAACCGAGTCCTTGGGAGCACATCCTGTTCCATACAGTTGAGGAACAGTGACACATTCACCGAAATGATGACTGCAAGGAATAGTAATTAGATTAAAATGTCTCAAGACTAGGATTAGAAGGAAGTCTTCACAGAAGTTAGGAGAGAATACTAAGGGTTTTGCAGATCTTGTTTTCAGGAAGAAAACCAAACTACAGAGTTTGGTTTTCTTCCTGAAGCTCATGGGGAATTGGGAGGCTGGGTAGATTATTGAGGTATTTGGCAGGGGAATAAAACAATCATTTTTATTCTTTATAATTATCCTAGAAACATCAAAAAGGATGGACTGGCAAAAGGATGAAACAAGAGAGGCAGGAAACTCAGTTTATATCATAATCAAAATGACAGGATTGCCATAATCCAAGTCATAAATTGAGGGAGCCTGACTAAAGGTTACTGCATTGTTGTGTAAGAGCTTGGATAGCATTAATTATAATAGAGAACAGGACAGAAAGAATACTTTTTGAAAAAAATAGTTCCAAACATTTTGAGCTGGAGCGCTTGGAACATCCTAGTGGGCAAAATTGTGAACATTATAATTCTCCAATTTAGGAGAGAGATCTATACTAAGGTACTGCTGGGAGTTAAAATCAGGGGTATAGATAAGGTGGCCCAGGGAAGAAGGTAAAGGGTGAGAAAAGCAAAAGACAGAGTCCTGAAGACTACCAACATGAGAAGGTTGGGAAACAATTTCTACAAAATATAAAAAATTGTTGAATCAGAATAGTAGAAGAAAGGCTAGAGAGAGTGCTGCTATGAAATCCGAGAGAGGAGACAGTCTCAAGAAGGGAGTAACACCAATTAAGAAAAGGTCATTAACCTTTGGGATAATGGTCATGGATATGGATATGGAAAGGCAATTCACAGAAAAAATATATAAGACCTATAAACATAAGAAAACACACTCAACTTTCCCTACTAACCAGGAAGATAGAAATGAAAAGGAGGCTGGCTGGTGAACTCAGTTGGTTAGAGCGTGGTGCTGATAACACTAAGGTCCAGGGTTTGATCCTTGGCCACACACATACCCCTGAAAGAAATATTTTTGCTTATTAGATTTTCAAATGCTTTAAAGATTGACAGCTTTCATTGTTGGCAAGGACATAGGGAAACAGGTGCTGTCATATGCTTTAAGTTGTAACAGCTTCTTTGGAGGACAGTTAGTACCTATCTTTAATTGCAAATACTCTTTAACCTAGCAATTCCATTTTTAGGTTTCTATCCTAAAGACATAGTCACGTCTGCACAAAAATGATTACAATAATATTCAGCATTTATGTAATACTGAAAAATCAGAACAAACTAAATGGCCATCAGTAGGAAAATGGTTAAACTGTGGTACATCCATATTTTTGGAATACTGTGTAGCAGTTCAAAAGAACATGGCAAAACCTTTCAGGTATTGTTAAATTTTTTAAAACATGGAATATTACCTCATTTCTGTAAATACAGAAAAACTATCTTGCCATTTATATGTGTATGTATGTATATATAAGTTCATTTTTTTTAAGGTCTGGAAGATAATATACCAAACTGATCACTGGTTTTCTTTGAGGGGAAAGAGGATTTGGGTGGGAGGAGCAGAGTGGAAGGGGAATTGAAGGGAGATTACTTCTGTCCATTTGAAAGACTTTTGTGAATACATTTATGAAATTTTCAAAGAGATTATTAGTAACACGGAGAGGTGAGGTGAGGTGAGGGCTTGACCTTTTTTTGGACTCCACAGTTAGGAGATGATCACACAGGAAGAGCAGTTTTGAGGGGTGGTAAAAGCCAAGGTTATTTATCCTTAGAGTGAGAATTAATGGTGAGGAAAATGAATGAGTTAGGTTTTATGTCTCAAGGAACTTGCTTTGGAATGAAAATAGTTATGTAAATGGGGGTCGGGGACATATAAGTTGATGAGAAAATATTTGTGAAGGTGCCAGGGGAGAGAAAGCATGTGTTATGCCAGGGACAAGTGCTGTGAAAGGAGGAGAAGCTGAAGCCACAGGCGAGTTGAGGAGGTAAAGGAAGTAGGAAACATTGATGAATCCATATACAACTGCAGGGGAAAGAAATATGTCAGAAAGTTGAGAGACTTCATAATAGTGGCTTCTTGGCTGAGAGCAGGGGTGTGGGACACTTGAGTAAGGAGATGAAACTGCCATTGGTGGGAATGAAAGGAGAACCTGACTAGAGACTAGGGATTGCGGGGGAGGCTTTGAAGTTGATACCATGAACGGAAAATGGGACCAATTTTTTCAAAGCTGTTTTCTCACAGCAATGTTTGAGCTAAAGCATGTTAAAATGGGTAGTTAGACCAGTTCAGGGTTGGGATTCTGCAGGAAAAGAACAAGAGGCAAACAGTAATTTAAATGATCAGACTATACTTATGAGGGTTGGCAGACTACAGCCTGTGGGCCAAATCCATTCTGCCATCTGGTTTTATAAAGAAAGTTTATTGTAATATAGCCACATTCGTTCATTTATAAGTACTGTCTATGGCAACCTGTTTTCACACTACGACGGTATAGTTGATTAGTGACAGAAACCGTGACTGACAAAGCTGAAATTATTTACAGTCTGGCCCTTTACAGAAAAAGTTGCTGACCCTGAACTATACTGTAAGAGTGAAGCCAGCAGGGTGCTTGAAGACTTAGCATATGGAGTTGGAACATGGAGTCAAGCAGCAGGTATAATGAGACCAAGAAAGTTGATAAGAGAGAGGGAAATTTAAAGAATTAAATTCTAGGACTAGAGGACTCCTGAAGACCACCTGGATTTTAGTGATTTAACTTTAGGGAGGGGAAATGAGCAGTGGAGTAGAGGGCTGAAGTTCATTAAGTTCAAGTTGTGGAATCATTTGTAGAGTATTGGACGATAAAACAGAGAAGAAAGTAAGATATTTCTAAAAGATGTTTAGCAAATAACCTGACAATATAAAGAACTTAGTCCACTTAACTAAGATCTACCTGGATGTTTTCCTTGTATTCATTGTTAATTCAGTCCATACTTCCAGTTTATAGAGCACTGAGAATATTTGCACGCTAGTTTATTTTCTGCTATGTATACAGTGTTATTAAAACTTTTCATTTGCAATAGAATTCTGAATGGTGAACCAAAGTACTGTTAGAATGTATGAGGATGCTTTAAAAAGCTTGTGGAAAAATAGAATTAGAAGATAATAGGAATCTATATTCGTGAAGATAATAGGAGTCCATGAACTTTTTGAAGACCCCTTGTACATGCAGCTATTTATACACAGCATAAGTTTCTTTTTATTCAAAGGCAGAGAATATTGTTGGATTTTAAAATCTGCTTTTAATGTTTTTCTTTTCACTTTAGGTATATGAAAGTTATCCTGCTTATGATTTAACCGAAAGAAAAGAGTTCATAAAAACAACTGTTAAAGAGGTAAATATTTCACTCTTTTCCAAGTTTTATCATTTTGGACATATAAGACAAAAGAAATTATGTACAGTTGACCCTTGAACAGCATGGGTTTGAACTGTGTGGACCCACTTATGTGGATTTTTATCAATAAATATATTGGAAAATTTGGGGTTAGGTATGTCATGAATACATGGCATACCTAACCAAACAGTTTAAGTAGCCTGCCTAACAGTAGACTATTAGTAGTTAGTAACAGTTACTTAAGTACTAGGAAAGTGGTTAAGTTTGGGGGAGTCAAAATTTATATGCAGATTTTCAATTGCATGGGGGGATAGCACCCCTGACCCCCACCTTGTTCAAGGGTCAACTGTATATCAAATACTGCTTATTTTTCAAAGTACTTGTGTCACTAAATACATTTGATCCTCAACTTTCTTCAAAATGGGAAAATGTTTCTTTTAATCCCCACTTTAGAGCTTAAAAATTAAGTTAGTGATAAAATCTTAACTCAGATTGAGATGCAGGCTCCTAGTGCACACAGGTAGCTGGGCGTCTCAAAGCTGCTCACACAGCTGCTGCAGGACAGGTCCTGCCCACCAGTCAAAGGCGGGGGAAGACCAACTAGTTTTTTATTGATCCCAACTGATTTTCCACGGTCACAATAGTAAAATAAATATGAAAAAGATGGAATAAGGTTTTACGATTGATGTATACTTAATATTATGTGTTGGGTATGGTAAAATCATTTTTCTTTTTCATTACAGCTAATTTCTTGAGATAGAAGACAGAGACAGATGACCTGTTCCCATAGATTTGAAGATCTGATTTATACCATTATACCAGCAAAGAGAATGTATTTCCTTTTCTAAATTCTTGTTAAGCATTGTGTTGGTAGAACTTACTTGCTGACCTTTTTATCTTGAGTGTTACGTAAATTTGAGTTTGCCGTTTTAAATTGCGTTTTTATGCAGTTTTTAGTTTAAAATCTTGCATGGCAGTAATTATTTTTTATAGTTGTATTTTGTATATTCTGGATTTCTTTATATAAGGTCATAGATTATTGAACTGTAGTGGTTTTTAGTGCACTTAATATTAGCTTGCTTAAGACATACTTTTAATCAAGTAGAACAAAAACCATTATAACCGGCATTTGTACGTGGAGAGACTATGCAGTATTTAGTATATGGAATATTTTGAATACACATCTCTTCTGTCAGTGTGAAGTGTGTTCATTATATTAATATACGAGCTACAGCTGGCCAGATGACTAAATCAGAATTTCTCCTGCATGTGTATATAGTCAAATTGTCAGCATGACAAAAGTGACAGATGTTATTTTTGTATTTTTAAAAACCAATTTGTTGTATATAGTTTTTTTATTTCTTTTGTGCTGATCAATTTTTAAACTCATAAGTAGGTAGGTATCTTTACAGTTGTGAACTATGAAATGTCAGTGTTCAACCAGATGGTATGATAGAGCAGTGAAAGTCAGAATTCAGTGACAGCAACACTGAAGGAACAGACAGTCCTGCTTTGCCTTGGAAGTGTCATCAATTTGTAGTTTTAGTGTTAACTTTTGCAAAAGTGTCTATAGGTACTTTTAGTATTAAGGACAGACCAAAAGGAACGCATCAAAGCTTCCAAATCTTTGGGAAAGGGCGGGATTAAGTACACACACATTTGGCTTATAGTAAATAAACTGATTTTTATTAACTGCTTTTGCCAATATAAAATGCTGATATTTACAGAAAACCTGGCCACCTTTATAATTATGATAAAAGAACCAGGTGTAATGCTAAAAGATTATGTGTAGGCAATAGCAGATAACTCTGACAAAGTATTTCTCAAAAGTGATAATATACTTATTTCTAACATTAAAGAAAATAATGTATAATCAGGGCTGTTGGGTTTTAAATTTTGGCCAGTCAGGATTCTAGGTGGTCAACATAGGGACCCCACTCTCAGTGAGACAAAATTAGTCTCTTAAATTGACTGTCTTGATCAATTTATTAGTCTGTGGATTTTAAAATAAAACATGCTGCTTATGACAGATATTTGATGGATTGTTTAAAAATATCTTTGCATCATAGAACAAATATAAAAATATGTTGAATGTTAACAGGTATTTTCACAGGTTTGACTTGTTTCTTGATAAAGTTGAGACATTAGGGAAAGGTATACTTAAAAATGAATGGAATAAGCTACTAAATAAGATCTAAGAATTGGCCTTTGATTTTAAATACTTAATTTGTTCTTACAAATCTTGTCAATAAAAAATCTAAATCAATGGTGTTTTAAGTCTCTTGCATTTGATGTCTTAACTTATTAAGGTTTTTTTTTTTTTAGCATTTCTCCCCTGTGGTGGAGGATTTCAGAACAGGTATTTTTAAGTGGAGTTAATCTCATAGCCCTATATGATTTGGAGTGTTCTTTTGCAATAACTGATTATTTTTGAAGTGATTTCACTAAACTATCAATTAATCAAGTTTAGCAGTTTATCTTTTGACCATTTACTGTGAAGGGATTAAGGAGTAATTTCTGTGACCTAAAAGGTACAAAAGAGTGTTATTGGCTGGTTAAAGAGTTCAGATCCCCGTACTGGCTATCCAAAAATAAAAAATATAAAGAGGGTTTGGAGGTGAAGGGATAGAGTTCGTGTGGGTGAAAGTTCTTGGTGATGATACACCCATTTAATAGAGTGTGTTCATCACTACAGTACACAAAGTGCATTTGAAAAACAAGTTGTTTTTATTAAGCAGTTTTATACAACCAGCTGTGATCTGCAGTTAAAACACTAAATTTTTGTATTCACTGCTACCCAATTACAAAATCTTCGAACAATGAAAAACTAACAAAAAAAGTACCATGGTTCCTTAAAGAACAAAATCAAATGAAGTATGTAACTTGAGACAGGAAATTTTTTTTTAAATACACACTTACCATACTTCACGTAGGTTTTCCCCTACTTGTAGCACAGTACAAGTTTAAGTGCCCAGAAACTAAAATAATTTACTGTGAACCATTTCAAACTTACATTTTGTATTTATCACTTAACATGCTGAACATTTTAATACATAACATTTTACAGTAGAATACTTCCCAGTCAGTACCAATGAATCAGCAGAAAACCTAAATATCAACATTTTTCTATGTTAACTTTGCAATATACAGCTCTTGGCTTTCTTTTGCAAAATACTTTAATAGGGAGGGGATGTTTGTATCTATAAACTCTGAAGATCACTGCACATTCTTTCCATAAGATATTCTTTCTGCTTATAAGCCGAAATTTAAAAATTTTTTAAAATACCTAATATTTTGAAAGGTGGCTTTAAAGTCAATTTTTAGTTCTTTGTAAGCAGATCAATATAATTGAAAGAGTCCTGTAAAATGAAGTTTCTTGGCAAAAGAGGTATCCTGAAACCAATGTTTATTTTTAAATGACATATTAAACAATTTTTTGTTCATAAGTAAAAAGGAAAAACAGCCTTTTGCCATGTTCTCAGGCTTTGAAGATATGGCTATAAAATGTGTAATATTTATTAGGATAGCTCACATTTTTCTGTAGTTTTCCAGTGGACCTGCCTGTGGAACACTGTAAACATAATTATGCAAAAAAATATTTCTAGAGATTAACAGTTGTTTTAAAAAGAAGTGGGGAGGGGCTTTTATTAAATTCTGATGAGATCTTTTTGCTAGCGGTTGCTAAAACGGTATATTTAAAGTGTGCTACCCAACCCAAATTTGGCTTTAAGAAAAATAGCTATATTCTACCTATAGTGTGAAGACCACACTATCTGTACGGCGTTTTTAGCGACAACACCTACACTGTTTAAGGGAATGAAAATTTTGCTGTTTTGCCAATGAATGCACAAATTTAAAATATTTTATCACAAAAGATACCTGAATTTCAACTTCTTTTGACCACCCAATAGGAAGAAATATGTACAATATGAAATAGTCTAGAAGCTTCATTTTACCTTCAACGGGAGTTTGTGCTGTATCTATAAAGAGAGTTCTAAATTTAAATAAAAGCTCAATATTGGAGCTATTTAGAAATATAAGGCTCATTGGTACAGATACTGATAAGTTGTCACAGAAGAAAAACACATGGCTTTATCTTTTTTTTAATGATTCCTGCTTGACTTAGTTTTCCAATGTATAAAAACTTATCAGCCAAACAATGTCAAATCTGAAGAGAACCTCCAACTACGAATCATATCCAAGGTCTCAATTTAAGATTATATTCTGCCTTATTCTGAAATACAGACTTCTAGTACGCGTTGGACCTGTAGAAAATGCAATTAAATATAAGTGCTTTTAAGGATTTTGGGGGTCAGTGCTTTCAGAGTGGTGAAATGAATTTAAGTTATATCACCTTAGAAACATTTCTATTTTGCTATATCCAGAGAGCTATTTCCCCCGCCCCCCCCCCCTTATAAAACTGAGGTTTGACATGTGTTTCAAGCTTTCCCACTTGGGGTACAGAAGAAAGCTGGGTCCAGACAAATTCTTTTTAAAATGCTGCAATCTTGCTTGCTTCTCGAACACCACTCAAATATGCCCCTGTAACAGTCTGTGGGAAATGTCTGTTTGTTGCCTGTAAAAAAATAAAATAACAATTTAAGATCATGCATAAAGAATTCAGATGATTCAGGGAATTCAAGCTTAAACTTTATCTGGACCCCTCCTAAAATAAAGATTGGTGCCATTCCTGTGTGGTCACACTAACGCTGCTCACCCATCACAGCACTGGAACTTTTCTACTTATCTTGCCATGCTTTGCCAAATTCATTCATTCTACCATGTGTCAGCATTTCTGCAAAGTACTGTGTGGCATTCATTAAAATATTAAATATATATGCCAGGTACTGGAGTTAACGATGAAAAAGATTAATCAGACAAGTAGTCTAGCTGGTAGAATCAGTGATAAGTGAAACAAGTAGGAAAAATGTTATCAATTCATCCACAGATGGAGTTTTGCTAGATGGATGGAACAAGAGGGTAGAGAGTTGAGTTATTCAAAGGATAAACCAGGGACCTCAAGTTCAACAAAAAGAGAAAAGACAAAAGAGGAGGGCTGTTGGTATGGGAGGAAGTAAAGAGTGTCCATGATAGAATCTCACTTTCAAGGTGTAGTTGTAATGGGAACAGAATAAACAAACCAAAAATAGGTGGCTTGAATTAGCAACCGTTAAGTAATAATGACAAGGTTTGAGATGCGGCTATGGGAAAGGGTAGCTGAAGTGGAGTTGAACAAGGAGAAGGGTAGGAAATAAGGTAAAGTTGAAGTCACCTGAACTGATGGTTGGGGCAGAAGGGAAAAACATCTAGGTGCCAAAGACTAATGAATGGGGTATGACCAGGTCGGTAGGAATACAACTACTAGTAGGGAGAGAGTGGCAACGACAAGCCTCAGAGAAAGGGTTTTAGAAGAAGGTGAAGTAATAATCCTATCAAAGCAGCACAGGTTCTAAACCCTGCTCATGCCTTAAGGTGCACTGGCCTGAAACAGCCCTCTCTTGGAAGCCGCTGACAGTCGTTGCCTGGGGTACAGCTATGCTCTTCCCACAGCGTTGGCTCTTCACGGGCCAAGGAGTAATCTGGTTTTACAAAGGCATTCTTTTGTAATCACTCAAAAATCAGAGATTTTTGGAAAAAAAGTTTGTTTTTTGGGGAAAAAAAACTATTTTAGATGAAACTAGGAGATGTATGTAACCCCAAGCTATAATATATGAGGGTACTTCAAAAATCAGAAATATTTTTCCATGAACTTTTTGTGTTTTGGGGGGGGCAGCTGGCTGGTACTGGGATCCGAACTCTTGACTTTGGTGTCACAAGGCAGTGCTCTAACCAATGGAGCTAAACAGCCACCCCTCCATGAACTTTCTCAAGTACCCTAGTAGAAAGTGTAGACACAGATGAAAGAGTGGTAACTGAAAATTCACTTTAAGTTTGGGGCGGAGTTGGGGGTATTAACGACAAAAAGCAAACCAATTCACCCCAAAGAATCCTTACAAAAGTCTCAGCCACTGGACACTGCATGAGGAACCATGGAGGCACTGGTTGGCATGGGGTGAAAACAGGACTTGTTTAAAGTCCATGAAGAGCAGTTAGGTCCCTCAGCATATTCCCCACTCTGCCCACTGCAGTCCTTCAAAGATTTGACTCAGCAGGAGTAAGGTGCCAAACAAAAGGGGGATTAAGTCTTCACAACTCACAATGAGGCTTCTGGCCCCTACATTGCCAGGAGCAGAGATTCCACCACATTAAGAGAAATTAAATGCTCCCAGATAGACACTGATGCTGGAGGATCCTACCACCAGTGTTGAGCTTGCTGAGCTTTCAAGTGGTATTTTAAAAAGTGCCTCACTCAAATCTGAGCTGACAGTCAAGGATTGCGCATTTGGACACAGCAGGCACAGACTACAGCACACGAAACAGGAACTCTGAGGAAACTAGGCAGGGAGGGAACTGAAAACAAATCACAAAATTCTAATCACCTTAGTTAGGAAACAAGTTACGAAGCAAGAAGAGGGTGGTGCTACCGAAAAAGGAATATTCTGAGACCAAGGAACACGTCAATATTTTAAAAGTCAATTCAAAGATTGGAAAATTTTTTAAAATCTCGCCAAAAGTAGAATAAAAAGAGATGAATAATAGGAAGAGAAAAATCAGATGCCAATCCAAGAGTTCCAAGATATGGAATAAAAGATCTAGAAATAAAGAAAAAACTGGAGAAAAATGATAAGAAAATTGAAGAACATTTATTTCTAGATTATAAGGACTGAAAAAAGGCACAGAAAGGATCAAAACGAAAACATTTTTCAACAGAAGTAAATCAAGAAAGAAGAAAGGGATCTTGGAAATAAATGCCCAATGCTGGAAAGTGGTTTAAAAAAAAAAAAAGGAGACCCAGAGGACAGCTTTGCAGTAATCTCTAAAACGAGCCTGTGTGGCCTGGAGCAGACGGAAAGGACCCCAAGAAGAAGGGGCTTCAGAAACTAGAACTAACAGGCCAGCTCAGAGAGATTCAACTGTGAATTAGAGACGACTGAAGGGCAGGGGAGACCTGGGGAGAGCTACCAAAAGAATTAAGCTAATGACCAAAGGGGCCATTATGACTGCCAAGAAAACAGCGGATAAGAGAGGAACCAATGAACAACTTGGCTCGGCAGGAACCACACTCATGTAGCCACATAATAGAAACAGATACCAATTCAGTTAAAAGTGTGAAATAACCATGCTGAGAGACTGCTGCAAAGACTAAACAGGCTAACACCTTAACCTGGTACGAAGTCAGTAGATAATGTCTACCTAACGTTAAGACATGAATATAAACGTTATTTTAAAATATGAAGTAATTAAGATACATACCTCGCCAGCGAAAAAGATGGTTCCTTGTATTTCTTCAGCAATGATATCGTAGGCCTCACCACTTCCACCTGTCTTTACAAAACTGTATGCCATCTGGATCCATGGGTCTGTGCTCCACCGAGTGACAAAATATTTTGTGGGATCTGGGACCTCCTGTGTCCAATAGAAAAGAATTTTGAAATAAGATCAAGAGGACATGGCGCAACCCAAATCATAAATACACATTTCTCCCTCCCTTTAGGACCTGAGTTCACTGTTGTAGCACTCTGAAAACAGCAAGTCTCAGTATGTTCCTCTTACCCTCTTTGAACACTACCCAGGCCCCATAGCTGTATCTCCTGCCCCACCCACGCACAATTCCCTCACTTCTATAATTTGTCCTATGCCAGGGACACTCTCTCCCCACCTACCAGGGGCCACCACCAAAGGCTAAGAGCCTGGGCCTTCCCTTTTCCATTGCCTGGCATGTGCTGGAAAGATGGTAGAAATGGAGTCTCTGGCCCAGAGTAGAAAAGGGAAGGGTGGAGTCCTAGAATCACAAGTTGGAATTCCCAACAGGCTTCTCCATGAAAGAGTGATTCAAGGATATGTTTCACATTCACTAAATTCAAAATAATTTTGTCAGCAGGCCTCTGACTAGCATCACCGTGAAACATATTTCTATGGAAACTGTGTGCTAAGTTCCAAATGCCTAATTTAAAAACAAACTTTAAGACAGAAACCCAAGCTAAGGCCTACTGTGTGATACAATCACATCACTAGTTAGACCCTCTCCTATGAAATTAGCAATATATCTGGATACCTTCCACATCCAGTTTATGCAACTTTTGAGTCGTTGCACTTCTATTTCTGCTCATTTATTTGAAAAGGACATAAACCATGGCCATTTACAAATCTAGAAATTGCGAGATTTAGTAAATTGGCAAATATAAAGTACATTGAGCTCCTAGAAGAAAAGTTAGAAGAGACTATCTGCCTATGTAGGATACGAGAAAATGCTGGACAATGTCCCTCTGTAATAGGAAAGTTGTAGTCAAAGCTTTTAGGGTTTAAGTAAATACAGAGTCTGTAGAAAATGCTGAGCCTTTTACATTCTTAGAAACAAAAGGGATGTGTGTATGAGGAGAAAAAAGGAAGACAATTGTTTAAAAGGAGGTACAGGCCACTGTTATGGGCTGTACTATGTCCCCCCAATTCCTAAGCTGAAGTCCTAAACTCCAATATCTCAGAATGGGACAGTATTTGGAGACAGGGCTTTTATGGATAATTAAGTAAAAATGGGCTCATTAGTGTGGGCCCTAATCCAATCTGACTAGTGTCCTTGTAAGAAAAGATAAGGACACACACAGAGGGAAGACCATGTGAGGACACAGTGAGAAGACGGCCACCCACAAGCCAAGGAGAGAGGCCCCAGAGGAAACCAACCCAGCTGACACCTTGATCACAGACTTCCAACCTCCAGAACTCTGAGAATAAACGTCTGTGTCTAAGCCCCCCAGCATGTGGTATTTTATATGGCGCCCCCAGCACACCAGCAACCAGCCCGTCATGGGGTACTTCGGTGGAAAGGAGGAAAGCAGGAGAAGGCACAGGGCCCACAGCCTGGATTCCCTCCATCCCCAGCATTGCCGTTGGCTGTGGGTTGCAGACCCCCGCTGAAGAGCTCGTGAAGGTACCAGCAAGCACATCTTTCTCCTTGAAAAGAGAAGTGCTTCTCTGACCTGCTCCTTGAAGAGCTCCCGGAGCGTGGCCATGCACTGCTGCAGCACCTGCTTGTCCTCCAGGCTCCTGACAGACGCCACAGCCTCCCCAGCAACCACGGACATCAGCACGCTGTGCTTCTTCTGCAGACACGAACGGGGAAAGCAGTTCACGCTTTTGGTTTCTGATACAAAAATCTCTGTAAGGCTTGGTTCCCAAACAGATATGGGCCTCATTCTCATTAATTAAATTTCATTATTTCCAAAAGACCCTTATCCTCACTCCCACTGCCAGCCCATTTTCCTCACAAACACGCATTATCCAGCCATCCACTGTATGGTTCCCTGCTGAAACCAAACGCTCAGGAAGTAATGGGGGTATCAAATCCACGGTTCCCTTGACTGTTCTCTTATAAAAACTTGTTTCAGGGCCGGCCCGGTGGCACACTCGGTAGAGTGCAGCACTTGGGAGCGCGATGGCGCTCCCACCGAGGGTTCGGATCCCATATAGAGACCGGTCCACTCACTGGTTGAGCGCAGTGCGGGCACGACACCGAGGGTTGCGATCCCGTTACCGGTCACGAAAAAAGACAAAAAGGAAAAAAAAAAAAAACTTGTTTCAGAAGAAATAGGAGATTGGGAAGGGAAATCTGCAGATAAAATAATGGGGGGGGGGACCCTTCTCCAATGGTAAAGAAATTCTGCCCCCAGCTCCCATGTGAAGCCTTTTTAACACAAAGTTTCTCAGAACTAAAAGCTGCATTTCTTTCATGTCGCAGCAATAGCATGACCACAAAAACACCACAACTTTCAAGTCCCAGCCACGTGCTCCTTTCTTCTCCCACCTCTCACATCCACACACACCAAGACCCTCCTTCACCTGGACCAATCACACCCCACCCTTTGCAGCTCACTAGAGGACCCTTACAGAGGAAGTTTCAAGCATCACTCCCTCAGTGTGCTGGTGCCAGCTTTCCCTACGAGAAACCCCCTTACCTGCCTGCAATAACCCAGTCTCCACAAGCGACCAACTCACGACCCAGGGAACAACACTCGCCATTCAAGAAAATATGGCAAATACTGGGGTTCCTTTCCTGCAGGAAAATGCCTCAGTCTAAACATCCTCCCAGAATATAAACACACATCGAGAGTCTCGACAACATTCATGAGTTCCTGGGCTTGACCCATGAGTGATTACCAAACCAAATTCCAAACTTTAAGAAGGGAATTCAAACCACATGTCCCAAATGGTTTTACCTGGGGATCCATGTCGTAGAACACAGCAAAAAGCCCTCGCTTGCTGGCACAAGGAGGAACGTGACCAAAAAAGTCAGCCCCTTGAACTTTACCATCCCAAAATCTATAAGGAAACTGCAAGGCAATCTGGAAAGCAAGAGAAAGAGGGTCAAGTGTTTCTTGAATCAAAACCACAGGCAATCTGTAAGAAGCAACCTGTAGCTCCACTCTAAAACCAACCAACCATGTTCAAAAGAACAAGGCAGAACACTCCTCTTTCCATCTCCTCTTGTTCTTTCTTTGTGAGCTTCTTGTTTTTATGCCATTCAGTTTCATATTCCCACAGACACAAGTGGGACCCAGTGACAACCTACAGGCTAATCTGAAGCTTTATGCAAAGCATTCCTGACACCTAGTCTTGGAGCACAGGTCCACAAGTTAAATGCTTACTATTCACAGGTCTGCCAATATCTACCACAGCACAGGCAGATTCAGCTGATGAAGATTTTAAAGGCAGAGGAAGTAAATCACTGTCCTCATTGGGGTCAATGAGTGGAGGGTAGACAAGGAAAGCAGAAAAAAACAAGAATTGTTCATACCAAATTCAAATTCTGTGAATAACAAGATTCGTTCTCCTGAAGTCAAAACTCACAGACCTCAGCCAACTCTCCTCCTTTTGTTTTGAGAATATCCTTTTATATTCTTCATGAACAATTATTCAAATGAAAATCAAATCTGTGAATTTTACTTGGATTCAAAAATTACCCACTACTTCCCCATATCAGAGATTAGCTCCTACCATCTGACATTAATCTCTCTAGTTCAGCAGCTAAAGTAACTGAAGTCACCTTTTCAATGATGCCTGCTCCTAAGCTGTTGATAGCCTTCATCTTCTTCTCTGACAATGGTGGATTAAACTGAATGGCACCTTTCTGTAGTAAGGCCAGTGGTACAGTGACTAATACCTGTGGGAAATAATGAACAATTAACACACACACACACACACACACACACACACACACAGCAACTGAACCTAACACCGCAACTACTCAGTAGGTTTATTTCCAGGAAAATCTCAACACCTGAAGAACACTCCTCTCTACTGTCAGTCATGAGACTGTCAACTTTCCATGTTGTTATATGATAAGAACAAGGGCCGCCATGTACAATCGTGCAGGTTGTTCACTGCACAATGGTGGCTGGCTGAGCAGACGTAGCATCCACATGGAGAAATTTGCATTAAGGTTCTTAAAGCTAACAATAACCCCAGGTAAGAAGAGTGAGCAGATCCCAATCCTGAAAAGCAGTGCTATAGGAGGAAAAAGTCCTTAAATATGGAGTCAGGAAAACTTTGTGTATCATTCCTGATACATTCTACCCCGCCACTCATCTCTGCCAAACATCTATAAAATGAAGGTAATACCTGCCCTACTAACCTCAAAGGATTGGGTTAATGCTTAAAAGTAAAGCTTACAAGATACATCAATATGCTTCATAAATGGTAAAGTACATCATAAACATCAGGGATTATTACAATCGTGTAAAGCCACATGAATCTTTTTTTTGAAGAACAAAGCAATTTATCGCAGGGTCTCAAATGGGTCTAAAGAATCATTTAGATGGGCTGAAAAAACAGATGCTAAGTTGAGCCTTCAAAAATGACTCTCAAAGCCACATCACAAAAGCAGGCCATCAAAGAGAGGTGCTGACTTGCTGTACAATCAGAAAAATTCTGGCACAGAACCATGTCACCACTGCTACAGTCAGGAAGCCATTACTATTGCTGCCAGCTCCAGAATCATGCCACACATAGAACAACCTTTACCAGCAAAATTGGTATCTTGTGCCCTGCCTCTTGACTCCCTTGTAGTTAATGATTGGACCTTGGGACATTTTCTATCCCTGCTGTAGAGAAACCAAACACCTCGACCACTGTGCTTGTCAGCAGAAGGAGCAGAAGTGAAGCAGACACCACACCTTCCAAATCTCATGAAGATGCATCAAAATGCTGGGGCCTAATTCTCATTTAGAACCTCAGCTGCAGTCCGGCAAGGGGGGGAGGGAGGGGGGGAGAGAGAGAGAGAGAGAGAGAGAGTGTGTGTGTGTGTGTGTGTGTGTGTGCGCGCGCTTGCGCACGTGCACACGCGCTGACTTTCCAACATCTGCAGTACAGGATGACACATTAGGATGGGAATGGAATGGAAGTTGAACACCAAGTACCATAACTATGCTAGCTCTCATCAAAGACTCTGTATATTTGGCTTAACCCCCAATTCCAGGATCATAGGAAGCTCAGAGTTCTTCCTGTGAAGAACTATTTTCTGCCACATGAAAATTTTATTAAATATAAAACATGTTCTCTGGGGCCGGCCTGGTGGCGCACTGCTGTAGTGCGCCGCTTGGGAAGTGCGGTGGCGCTCCCACCGAGGGTTCGGATCCCACATACAGACCGGCCGCTCACTGGCTGAGCGAGGGTTGCGATCCCGTGGCCGGTCCCGGTCCGGTACGGGCGCGACACTGAGGGTTGCGATCCGTTGCTGGTCACGAAAAAAAGACAAAAAGGAGAAAAAAAATAAAATAAAATAAAAAATAAATAAATAAATATGGGCCGGCCCGGTGGTGCACTGCTACAGTGCGCCGCTTGGGAAGCGCGGCGGCGCTCCCGCCGAGGGTTCGGATCCCACATACAGACCGGTTCCCACTCACTGGCTGAGCGAGGTGCAGGGAGCAACACCGAGGGTTGCGATCCCGTTGCCGGTCCCGGGCCGGTACGGGCGCGACACTGAGGGTTGCGATCCATTGCCGGTCATGAAAAAAGACAAAAAGGAAAAAATAAAATAAAATAAAATAAATAAAACATGTTCTCTATCCTCAAGAACTTTACAGTCATTTATAGATAATAAGCTACCGTGAGACCAAAACAAAAAAGCTAAACCAACAACAAAAAACAATTACCTAGTTGATTAAATATTAATTACTGCAAGAAAATAAACAAAATCTAGATGTTCTCCTAATGACAAAAAATGCTTCCAAAAGCACAGAACTGGGCTGGCCAGTTAGCTCAATTGGTTAGAGCACAGCCTTGTAATTCCAAGGTCAAGGGTTCAGATCCCCATACTGGCCAGCTGCCAAAAAAAAAAGCACAGAACTTGAGTAAACAAATAGGCAAATTATATAAACATGCCCTAGTAAGGAACTGGAGCCAGATCTCAGTGGAAGCAGCCTAGATTGAGTTACAGTTGGTCAAAGGTTTATGGGTTTATCATGTTGGCATGGAAATCTTTCACTCACAAGTTTGAGGAAACTTCCAAAACAAACTGTGATGCATGCTAGCTACATAAAAATAAAAATACTTGCTTTAAACATTTCAAAGCACAACCTGAAGTTGTGCACTAATTTCTCTGGAAGGCCAGAATACAAAGACAGAAGGGCACATGTGCCTGGCCAGGGTCAGGCAGGGTGTGACCAAGCAGGAGAACTAGGGTGTTGTCCTAGACGCCCAGAGGCAGAGTCACAGGATACCAGAGGCTGAACCGTCAGCTGACTTGCAATTTTGAAAGGGGGTATTTTAAAAAATGTTTACCACTAGGAAGAGCCTTAGCTATTAGGGGCTTACACTGTAGCCCAGTGGTTCTCAACCATGGCTGCACACCGGAATCACTTGAGAAGCTCTAAAAACATGACCTGACCAATTCAATGAGAATCACTGTAGGGTGGGGCTTTCAATCTTTCTAGGCACCCTCCAGGAGACTCTAACACGCAGCCTGGATTGAGAACCAATGCTAGTCCAAAGTCTCCCAGCTAGCTTATGGCAGGAATAATATTAGGAAACCCCTCCCCACCCCAACTCATCCTCTAGACCCCGTCTTTCCCAGGTGACATGCAATCCTTTATTTCTGTATGAATATCAAGGACTATGAAACAGGTTTTAGAAAACTGAAGAAAGCTAACGAGAAACTAGTGATAGTTCAATATTTTTGATAATAACTTCAAACATAAATAAACTTATGAGGTTTATTAAGTTCCCTCTACCTTAAGTGAGTGCTATAACACTAGAGAAATCTCAGTGTGATTTCAGGTATTAAATACAGTAGTACCTTGCACTGTCCACCTACTAACACTGTTTCCAAAAATATTTAAGTTATAAAAAGTACTTCTGACAGTTTCAAGATGAAAACAGAACTTCTTGAACTGAAGAAACACTGCATGATAAAAAGCAAACTTAGAAAGCACAGCATTATAGTAAAATAGATTTCTTTAATGCAGGACTTCTCAGAGCGTTTAATATATTCCTATTTAACCCTAAAAGTGGAGTGTAGTTACCATACTTCCCAAACTTATTTGGCCAAGGAAATTTCTTTTCTGGTTCAACTCTCAGGACTAATGTACACAGAACCCACTTCAAGGAACACTATTCAGAATTCTATCTGCCATGAAGCAACATAAGGTTAGATCAATTAAATCAGATTTGTACATATACACACAATTAAGTGAAGATATGTAACTGTCAGAAACCCAACAAGGCACCAGACTGCCAAAGGCAAAGCACTTGGTGGAAAGAGTGCTCTTCCTTCTCCCCAGGCCCCCAGCAGCAAGCAGCTCTACCCTCGTGGAACCCTAGTGCAACCCTAGAGCTTACCTTTTGTGCAGAATACCCTGCACCATCCGTGGTGGTAACCTGTACTTCATCTCCAGAATAATCAATACTCTGCACCTGCTCAAGAAAAAAAAAATCACACAAAAAAATTAGGGATGGAACCAACTAATCCAGAATCCTTTCCTATTCTTGTGTTACATGAGTTTACATCTCCAAGGCTACAGGGAGTCATTTCTTGGCATTCAGAGATCTAAACAGTAAGAGTTGAACTCCAGAGATTAAAATCCATAAACACTATATCAGAATATGGAAAATATAACACAGTGTAAAGTGAATATATATATATATATATATATATATATATAATAATAATAATCATCTCTGATTACAACAATGTACAATACAAATGTACTGGGACAAAGACTTGAAAGAAATATTTTAAAGTGAAAATAACTCCACTGGGTTAGGGAAATTGTGAACAACTTGAATGTCTTATTGTTTATGAAAATGCACACTGGGCCACTATTGTTTCCAAACAGCAGCAGCTCCTAACTGATACAGATCATGCTACTGATCACAGCCTACGACTATCACAAAAGTACCTGTAGGCACTGGCTGAACGTCAAAGCAAACACCGGCCTTCTGAGGAACCCATGTGCCCCACACATCACATGCGCCCCAAACAAGGCAAGGCCAGAGCCTCCCACCACTGTCGATACTCACTGGAGATCTGAGCCGAATGTCTAGCCCTTCAGCCAATTTTTCAATTATTACAGAGTACCCAGGAGTTAGGAGAGTGTGGTCACCAGCAAACTGGGCAAAGAATTCATTGTGGTCCCAGGAGCGAGCAGACACCTGCGAAACAACAAGAGAGGTTGGGGACATAGTGTAAGTCCTTGAGCCTGCGCCGGAGGGCCAATAAAAGAGCTCCAGGTAGGAACAGCCACCCAAAGCAGGAGGCGGGGACGTGGGGAACAGTCCAATCCAGGCAGATACCACTGTCAGCGGGAAGGAAGTCTCCCAGTAATGCGCACAATAGTTATGTTACAACAAGAGATCTATATGTCTTGATAAAAATAAAAGGAGATTTTATATATTGACAACTTTGGCAAAGGAGAATTCTGTGAGGGTAAAACCGCATTTGATAAACTCCATACATAAATATGCCAACTATGTCTTCAACATGGAACCTCTACAGAGGTTGAAACCCAACAGGATCATGGAAAACTGAATGATTCCAACCACAATACAGAATTGAATAGAAATGGGGAGATCCCGAAGAGAACAAGTTAAATCATTTATGGGGTTTCTACTCAAAATACAGACTACTGGAGTACAGTCAGCCCTCTGTATCCATGTGTTCTGCATCTGTGGATTCAACCTACCACGGAATAAAAATACTCAGGAAAAAAAAAATGGATAGTTGCGTCTGTACTGAACATGTACAGACTCCTTTCCTTGTTATTATTCCCTAAACAATGCAGTATAGCAACTATTTACATAGCATTTACATTGTATTAGGTATTGTGAGTAATCTAGAGACGATTTAAAGTGTACAGGAGGATGTGTGTAGGTTATATGCAAATACTGTGCTATTTGATATCAGAGACTCAAGCATCCTGGTATCCCAGGGGGTCCTGGAATCAATCCTCCCAAGGATACTGAGGGACAACTGTATTAAGTTCACAGTTGGTTAAACGACTTAGGCAAGCTTAAATTTATTTTAACAAGGTAAACAGACCAGAACTGCAAGGAGACTATGTTTTGGTTTCTTGAGAGCAGTGTTTTTAGACTCTGCAGTTCCAGAGAAATGACTCAGCGGCCTCTGCCAGGGCAAGCAAAGAAGCACGGTCACAGGAAAAGCTCCCACCACCTGATCCAGCCCGCCAGCCTCCTTTCTCAGGTTTTACAAACTGAGCTTCTTCACAGACAATACTGAAGAAGGGTTTCTCTTGCTTTTAATAAAATGTTAAAATCACCGTGGGGTTGAAATTCTCTGTAGTGGTGGTTTTCAAACCTTTATCCAAGCCAGCCCTAATTCAATATTCAGATGTACAAAATACACACAATACCCCAAAACAGTTATGTTCGAAGCATGTTTCACGAAACGCAGTCGCACCTGGTGGAGGCTGCTGCCACAGGCATATTCCAGGTTGCTGAGATGGAACTGAAGCACCTGCCCTTCCAGCTCACTGAACTGGATACCAGATTCCTTAATAAAGGCCTTGTAGATTTCCTCTATCTTTTCTGCAACGGGAATGGATCAAAGCAGAAAAAAACACCTTTAACATCATTCTCCAACTCCTTATCCTCTGCTTTCAACCTCCTTCACCCAGCAAAACCTAAACCTTCCAATGTCTTTTCTCAAGTAAATTCAGGAGAAAAAGAATGTCTTGATAAGGTTGATTTCTCTCAGGAAGTAAAAGTTTAGCTCAACTTGAAACAAAGCTATGTAGGTTCTCTACCTGCAAAAATGTTTCATTTCTGCTTCGGTTGAGAAATTGTTTCCTCTTTTGCTCAAGATACAGAAAAAGTAGCCCTGCACATATATGTACACACACACACACACACACACACACACACAAGATTACCATTCCCCTTCTGGCCCCACTGCTATCACCTTAAAGTCAAGCTCTTTTAACATCCCACCTCAACTAAGAGACCTATAACAGTCACTATGGACTATATAGTCTCTCCCAAACAAGCATATTCCACTGTGGACTTTCATCATGTCAGCCCCTCTGCCTTAGTATCTTCAATTACTGGTTCCTTGTTTTTTTTTTTTTTCCTTTTTGTCTTTTTTCATGACCGGCAGCAGATCGCAACCCTCAGTGTTGCACCCGTACTGGACCAGGACCGGCAACGGGATCGCAACCCTCGCTGTTGCGCCCGCACCTTGCTCAGCCAGTGAGCGGCCGGTCTGTATGTGGGATCCGAACCCTCGGCGGGAGCACCACCACGCTCCCAAGCGGCGCACTGTAGCAGTGCGCCACCGGGCTGGCCCACTGGTTCCTTGTTGCCTGTGTAATAAATTCCAAAAGCCACAGTCAAGCAAGCCTAGCACATTTTAGCCTGACCAAAAGTAGTGACGACTACTGCCCACTTACGGGACCTGCTATGCTCCTGCTGAGTCTTCTCCTGGTGAATTCCAACCCTGCAGGCTTTACTACTCCCCTCACCCTCACAGGAATGCCCCCCCCCCAATCCCATCCATCCTTTACAGCCCAGCACCAAATGGCCACTGCAAGCTTCCAGAATCTCTCCCTGTTACCAGTCCCAGAGCTTACCTATCCCATTCAACTGGAACTTATAACTATACAGACACAGATCTCTGAGATCATTCTGATTATTATCTCAGATTCCTTTTTGGCAGGCTGGAGGGTGGGAAGGTTCTAGCTCATGTCTAATTATAAGCATCTCAGGACAGGTTACTTTTCATAACCTTTCCAGTGATGACAACCATCCAACACAGACATCACAGACTCCAAGGTTCTGTAAAGTATAGTGCATTTACCTAACTAGAAACAGAACTATCAGTTACCCTTTTTTTCAGGGTGGGGGACAGCTCAAGGTTCTCATTAAAACTTTCAATTCTTACACTAGAGTGTAACATAGGGATGTCCAAGAACATATGGATCTATGCTTTGGGGCATATGGGTTTTTGCCCCCAGACCCCTGGGTTTTGTACCACTTGCAGTATGTAGAACTCCCACTCCTGCCTCCTGATGTGGAGTTTCTACTTTCCTGTCGGCTTTGTGGAGTGAGAAAAACCAAGATTGCTAGAACAGTCATTAAGTATAAACAGACTGACAGAAACCTTAATGTGATTTTTACATAAATAATATTTAAAAATGAAACCTAGCCTCTAAGTATTTATATTTTATTTTTTTCAGCTTTGCGCCAATTAGGTGAGCTCTCAGAGAGCTGAGATACTACTAATGGGCAGGATGTAACTATAAGCTCATATGGAGATGTGTGTGCTATCATTAAAGCTTTTTAATAAAATATTAAACAACTAATTATATTACAACTAATACTATGTAATATTAATACAACTAGTTACACAGTAAGTATTGCTGAGCTTCCCTTAACTTTTTTCAAGTAAGGCCAAGGCAAAGCAGTATCATTCAACTTTTTTATTTGGTGATTCTGAAAGAAGTATAAAGAAAACCTCAGCCAGCAATGACCACGCAGGTGCAACATGAACCCAATTCTGAGGATATCCTGCAAGTCAGCCTAGTAACTGTACCCAACTCCAGAAAACTTAACAACTCACCAACTGGTCTGGACACAATGATATTTGATTAAATGATCCCTGTTGGCCAGAGTATATTTCAGAGAATGTTCTGTTATGTATGGCTTGTCAGTCAACACCTATTAAGGGTGATCAGAGTGGGGGTCTCTTAGAGGTGGTGGGTTGAGGAAGTTGAGGGAGAGGGGAAGGAAAAAAAGAAGACATGGATAGTTCCTGCTATTGAGAAGTTTACCCTAAACAGAAATGAAGTGTATATCAGCCTGAAGAATTGAGAACCTTTGCAATGAAACATACAGTTGAAGGAAATTAACATCTTGCAAATTCAGTTCAAATGTTTGCAGTTCAAGAAACTCCGACATGCCTCCAAGAACTACAAGTGAATACGTTCAGGTCACAAAACTGTAGGTTGCATAAATATCCATTTGAGAAGCAATACTAGTAAAATCTCAGCTGTACCCTTGTGGAAATGAGTCAACACAAGCAGTCAAGTTTTCTAAAGACTTGTGGTTAATATCACCCATTTAAGTACTAATGCCAAAAGATTTCAAATTAAAATTCTCAGATTATTATACACATTTTTGCATTCTTAAACAAATTATACTGAAAAACCTTTACCTACTGCCCACAAAGAGGAAAAGAAAAGAAATCCTGACATACAGAAACGCTTATCCAGAAAAGACATTATGGGAGATGCTTTATTCACATAGGGCTTACCACATTTCCGTGTAAGTAAGCTTCTCTGGGAAATTTACCATTAAACATTTAGATAATTTGGTAAAACACCAGCTATAGTGTAAAGTAAGGTTTGTGTGTGTGCGCACACACCACAAGCATCTAAGGGACCCTAGGAAAGTTCTGTTCCCCTCTGAGGAATGGTCTGGAGAATTCGCCAGTCCAGAAGGAACGCTCATGAGGACCATCCCTAACGCAGACATCCAACCTCGTGAATGCAGGAGACTGCGACTAATCAAGCTTAGGTTAGCATGAAACTAAGATGGAACAATCAGAACACCATTCTCCCCATACCTCCTAAAGGGACATCTTGGAGCTGAGTCTTATCCTTCCTCCACTCAGAGACAACATCCAAGAGAGCATTAAAATGAAAATCCATGCGCTTGTCAATAGTGGGGTCAGTTATTCTTCCACCTTCCTGAATTAAGTCACATCTTTCTCCAAATTTATGCATGCTGATGCCAAGCTTCAAAATAATAAGAATAAGAAGGTGAAAATTTTCCCTGGAAAAAATACTTACAGGTTCTCAGCTGAAATTAGACAGAGCTCTCATGGAGAAAAGGGTCTAAGTAACTCCCCCCAAAAAAGTTAAATATGCTTAATGGGGAATGGCAGAAAAATCAGGCAGTGGAAAAGGATGAGATTGACGAGAGCTTATTTCGTGAGAAAATGAGGGTGACACCAACAGCTTCTATGCCATGCACTTTGTAATTTTTGGCTAGTGTTTCCGATGCTGGGCATTGCCTTGTCCTGGCTCTAACATATCTCCTCTCTGGACCCTCACATAAATGAACACACAAACATACAAACACTCACAGCAGAAGTGGAAATTGAACTGTCAATAAATGTTTCAGAAAAAGCCTTGGGCCTACCTGCTCTTTAAAGAAACTAGGTAAGGTTGCCAGATAAAAGACAGGATGCCAAGTTAAATCAGACTTTCAGAAAAAATAACATATACTTTTAAAGTATAAGTACGTTCCAAATGTTGCATGCAAAATATTCCATGTAATATTTGGGACATACTTGTACTCAAAAACAAAACAAAACAAAAAAAAAAAAAACCCTTCTTTATCTGACAGTCAAATTTAGCTAAGAATTCTATACTTTTATTTGCTAAATCTAGCAACCCTAAAATTATGAGCTAATCAAGTGGTCTGCAAAAAACACACAAATAAAAGATCTTAGAAAAAGGAAAAATATTCCTTAAGTCGTCTAGTTCCACCTTCTTAAAAAGGGAGAAGAGCAACTGTTCCTATTTTACAGAGAGGGTAGGGGGTTGTTATGTGTTATCTACTTCAGAAGCATATTAATACTATGCACAAGCAAACTGAGACAATTTTTCTTTCCTTTATCTACAGTACAAGTCTTAAAGACACTCACTTGCTCACACATTAGCGCTACAGGGTTGTTAATACAGCCATTGACAATCTGGGCTCCTCTTCCCACTGTGACACCTTTAAAAGATTTATCATCCCATACTCGGCCTCCAATTCTGTCTTTGGCTTCTAGGACAGTCACCTAAAAAGACAATAAGGGAAGCTAACTAGGATAGAATAGTAATATCAGACACAGTATTATAAAAATGTAGACTGACACTGTTAAACAACCTCTATGTTTAGTTAACTTATACTTCTACAGAAACAACTGCAAAAAGCAGGCAGTGTAAACAGAAGCCAAAGCAGATGTTCAAAACAAACAATCTAAATTCTAGTGAGGAATAACTTGGTGATCTGTTAGAGGAATCCCTCAAACTGTTCTCTCTCAAATTAGATAATGAACTAGCCTATGAGATGTACTTTGAAAGCTTTTATGAAACAATATACCATAAATTAAGAAGCACAATTAGGGCTGGCCAGTTAGCTCAGTTGGTCAGAGCGTGGTGTTACCACACCATGTCAAGGGTTCGGATCCCCATACCAGCCAGACGCCAAAAAAATACATAAACAAAAAGGAAATATCTACCCATGTGGCAAAATTCCTTTAGCACTGCAAATAAGCCTTAACTTCTCTAAGACATGACCATTATTTTTTTAAAAACTTATACTCTGTATAAGTATGACCTCATGGGCTTGACCTATCCTAACCAGGCTGGTCCCACGCCCAGACTATTTTATCCCTTCCAAATTTCTAATGCCGATGGCATTAGAGGAGGAGCTGCTCTTGGATGGACAGGCAGTGTCTCACTTGCAGCCCTGGGATTCCGTGGGTTGCATTAACTGAAAATGTGAGTCTTATTTACTGCAAGGCCCGTCATTTCATTTCTGGATCCCTAAGCCCTACTTCGAATTACTCAAGAAGACGTTTCCCCAAGTTAACCATCTCTCAGGTTACTCAGAGGAATCTATTTTCTCACCATGAAGGGGATGGACAGTTTCCTGGGTGTCTCCCTCATCACTTGGGGAAGAGTAAGAGGAAAGTAATAGGGGTTCTCTAAATGTTCATTCTCAGACCTAAATTCTTCACTTTCTCTAACTACAACTACCCTCCCCACCCTGGTTCTCTGACTTCAATTTAGCAAAGAACCAACTGTTTCTAGTTTCTTTCTTGTATAAGAGGAAGTCTGAACATTAAAGATAGCCTCCCTAGACTTTGAATATTAATAATATTCCCTGTAATATAATCTGTAGGCTTCCCAAGTAAAACACAAACAAAGACATTGGCCCTAATATCTAATGCTAAAATAATCAATTAAAACACTTTCCAGCTAATACCACAAAAAGATATTTCAAAATGCAAGCACAATTCCTATAAATCCAACTCATATTTTTCCATTTTGCCAGAATATAATGTAATCCAAGACATGGGTCTTCCATCCAACCAAGAGGAAAATCCCTCCTAGGCGTACCTATTGAAAACTTCTCTCATCTATGAAAATCTTCCCACAGTGAAAACAGTATTAAAAAGGAATTGTCACTTCTTTTAACTAGATAGAGAGTAGTGAGAAGACTAATTCAATTCTACCACGTTAATTTACACTTTCGTTTCACTGAAAACCAAAGTCCTCGCAAAATAAGTTTTCAAAGAGGAGAAATGTGTCAGACCTAACAAATCACAGAATTCTAGGGAATGGTTAATTTGAATGAATTTAATGGAAAGCAGATACTGAATGACACAAACTTTTTTGTGTCATAGTCTCTATTTGGGGTAATTTTGAACTGGAATAAAGCAACAGTCTGGCAAAAGTATGTTGCCTTATCCTACCTTTCGGATGCTGGCTGCCTTAAATATATACAGTAAGTCATATAATTCTATCTCAACCAATGGATTAACTAACTCGGTCTTGCTTCCAAAAGCAAAGGTTTTTGTTTTCCAGCATAAGATTCAAGATTCAAAGGGCGTCTTTGATTTGCATAAGAAAATCTGCATAGTTCAGAAACCTCCATACAAGAAAAATGGTGGATTTCCATGCTGCTGTTTGTTTTCTCAAACTACTGCAGAAACAAGGACTTTTTCCCATAATCTGTCGTCTGTCAAGAACTTCAGCTTTAACACCAAGTTAGAATTTCTTCTGACTTGCTCATTAGAGTCTAATACTCTCTCCAAAGCTGTGGGAATTTCTATTTGTTCTATCTTTCTTTTATAAGATCATTTTCAAATGTTGTGACTTTTCTAGGATCTAGTGTAAAGATACAATGTACTTATTTAGCGTTCTTCACCAGAATTAGAAACTGGTTTCTAAGTCTTAGAAAATGTGGACTGGAGGAGCAGTTAACCATCCATTTCCAAGTAGGTGTCCCAAAAATCTTACCTTAATTCCAAAGTTATGCAGTTGCCTAGCAGCTGCTAATCCTGCTGGACCAGCCCCAACAACGATGACCGATTTCTTAAAAATAAAAAGAGAAAAGAAACAAAACTCCAATTAGAGCACTGATAACAATGAACTGTTTTAGTTGTTCTGGAAGGTACTAACTCCCTAGCTATGTTAGTTCACATACATTTCTTTGATGTCCTTAGAAAGTTATTTTCCGAAAGAATATGGTGGTACTTGTCTTAAGTAATCCTTTCCTTTTTTCCCACACTCTGGGGAAGCAGTGCTGGATACTCTACTCTGGGGAGAAACACATATTCTACCAAAGTCTTGCTTCTCGAAGTTTTATAGCGATAATGTGACATTTATTAGCATTGTTAACAGCAATACACTAGCATTTACCATGAGCGAAGTTAACGTTACAGCTGCGGTCACCTACATTGTGGTAGTCTTTAGGAAGAAGATACTGGTCAGCTCCCACGCTAAGAACTCCTGTGTTGATGAGACCTTTTCTTGTCATAAAATAAAGTATCCTCTCCACTTCCTGAACACATCGAATACGCACGAGACCCCGGACAATGATGTGAGGGACACATTTCTGAGGAGTAAGAGCTTCCTGTGTTTGGAAATGAAACCAAACTGTTAAAAAAAAACAAAACTCAACGAATTCAAACAACTCAATAGCAAGAAAACAAATAACCCAATTAAAAGACGAGCAAAGAACCTGAACAGAAGACACATAAATGGTGAATAGGTATATGAAAAAATGCTCAACATCACTATCATCGGGGAAATGCAAATTAAAACTACAAGATGTCACCTCGCACCTATTAGAAAAGCTAATTATCAAAAAGATAAAAGGTAACAAGTACTGGAGAGGAAAGGGGACCCTTGCACACTGTTGGTAGAAATGTAAATTAGTACAACCACTATGGAAAACAGTATGGAGTTTCCTCTAAAAATTAAAAATAGAACTACCATATGATCTGGCAATTGCACTACTGGTATATACCCAAAGGAGATGAAACCAGCGTGTAGGAGATCTCTGTACTCCCATGTTCAGTGCAGCACTACTCACAATAGCCAAGATATGGAATCAACTTGTGTCCATCAATGGATAAATGGAAAAAGAAAATGTGCTATATATATATACATGGAATACTATTCATCCATAAAAAAGAAAGTCTGTCATTTGTGACAACATGGATGAACCACATGCCTTCACTTACACACAGAATCTAAAATAGTTGAACTCACAGAATCAGAGTAGAATCAGGGTGGCCAGGGGCTAAAGGGGTTGGGACATTATGGGGGAGATGTTAGTCAATGGACACAAAATATCAATCAGACAGAAGAAATAATTCCAATAGACCTACTGTACAACATGGTGACTATAGTTAATAACAGTGTATTGTATACTTCAAAATCGTTAAGAGTAGATTTTATTTCCACAAAAAAATGGTATGTCAGGTAATGCATGTTAATTAGCTCAATTTGGCCATTCCACAAGGTATACGTATTTCAGAACATCATATTGTACACCATAAATGTATATAATTTTTGTCAATTTAAAAAACTAACTTAAAAAATCTCTTGGTTTCTCAGAGTAAAACATAAAATTGAACATATGACCTGGCAATTCCCCCCCAGGTATATATCCCCCTAAAATTGAAAACAAGTATTCCAACAAAATGTTCATAACAGCAGTATTCAAAAAGCCAAAACATGGAAACAACTCAAATGTTCATCAGTGGATGAATGGATAAACACAATGTGGTATATCCATACAATGGAATATTATTCAGCCACAAAAAGGAATGAAATCCTGACACTTGCTACAACATGGATGAACCTTGAAAACATTATGCAAAGTGAAAGAAACCAGTCACAAAGGGTCATATATAGTATGCATCCACTTATAGGAAATATCCAAAATAGATAAATACATAAAGACAGAAAGTAGATTAGTGGTTGCTAGGGGCTGGAAGCAGGGGGAACGGGAAGTGACCTCTTAATGGGTACAAGGTTTCCTTTTGGGGTGATGAAAAAGTTCTGAACTAGATAGTGGAAATGGTTGTACAACAGTTTATATATACTTAATGTCACTGAATTGTACATTTTACAATGCTTAGAATGGTAAAAATGGTAAATTTTGCGTTATATGTATTTTACCACGATAATAAAAAACTCAGGGTAATTCAAATCCATCATTTATCACTAAGATACTAAGAACAAAGGGAGGTTTGCCTGGTTGGGGGGGGGGGAGAGAAGAAACAGACAAAAGGAGGACACAGCCATTTATACTTTATCACATAAGGTCCCCCTCAGAGAATGACTGCTACGGGGACAGTGGGGTCAGACCACATCACATTCCTGACTCAACAAAAGTCACTACGGAGATCCAGGCTGCTGCTTGTACCGGCAGCAGGAACACTGGATTCTCATGACTGATAGGATGTCAGGGGCTGATTTAGAAACCTGTAACAAAGACACTGCCTTTCTCTGCTCACCCCGGCTTTGGCAAGGCCTTGGTCCATTTCCTAGACTCAAGAGTTACAAAGCCACTGCCTCACCCCAGTGACATGAAGCCAGAACAGGTGCCAAGGGGTTTCTACCCCAGGCCTGTCCTCTACTTCTTATCCCCAACCCCCAGCTCCCCCAGAACCTGATCAAACACAGGCACATGATTTTATACTGCAAGTATCCAAGAAATAATACATGCAACGTTGACTTGAATGGCTGCAGAAGATAAAAAGTCTGTTTGTATTCATGAAGTTTTTAAAGCAAATACACTTATGTTTTCCCACTAGAGTATTAAGTATAAATGATAAATACTACATTCTTATTAAAAACTGAAATACCAGACTGACAAGTTTAGGATTTTTTCTATAAGGTTCTTCCCCTGTATAAGTCAAGTTTCAAAGTCAAATAAAAAGAAATATGAAGAAAATGAACCCAAGTTTGTTTCTGAAAAGTCTATCTTTATGACTTACTTATAGGATATTCTGCCCACAATTTTGTTTAGTTTAGTAAATGTTTATTGAGCACCTACCTCAGAAAATGAATACTTCTACCTTACCCAATCTACTCACCTGGGTATAATTCATGTACATTGCATGAACAGCCGTAACTTAATCAGGTCATCTCATCTCATACTGTATTCTAATCCAGTAAAATATCAGGATGAGTTGGAATATCTTTCTTTAATCAAGACCACTTTGGCAGTCTTGCACAATGTTCTGCACTCAGCAGTCACTCAAAAAATTGCTGAGGAAATTAATCAATCAGAAAAATACTAAGGTCAAAAGAGTCTATATTTGTTTAAAAAAAAAAAAAAAAGCTGAATCAATCTACCCCCTTCTCCCAATTTATCTTCATCTCTCTCAGGGTGGGTGCTACATGACACCCCTATCATTTATTCAGTCTCAACAGAAAAAAAAAGCACTGGTCTTGATTGATTGGTGATGTCAAGGTGAGTAAGATTTAATAATCCCTGCCCTCAAGGGCATACAATCCAACTGCTGATGTTTTTGGTTTTTTTCCTGGCACTGCCATTGGAACTCTTTGGATCAAACTCTGCACCTTATACTCACTCCCTACACAGTCAGCATTCTGTACACACACATATGGTCTAAAGTGGTGGGTCTCAGCAGAGGGCAAAGCTGCCCCCATTTGGAAATGTCTAGAGACATATTTGGCTGTCACAGCTGAGAAGTGTTACTGGCATCTAGTGGGGAGAGGCCAGTGCATAGGACAGCCACAAAGAATTACCCACCTAATAAATCAGTATGTAGTGCAGAGGTTGAGAGTACCCTGTCTGTGTGCCATTAGCTAACACGGCCTCACTTACTTTGCAGTTACTATACCACAGTGAGAGAATGAGGTTTCTCAAAGCCAGGTACATGGTGGGGTCTCGGGAATACTCTGGAAACTCGTAGAGTTCATCCAGTTCCATCACATCTGGCCGCACACACAGGGCTTTGCCACACTCGTTGGGCTGGTAGAAAGGCTGGAAGTACCGGTTCATGCCTGGAACTGACAGACGACACAAAGGGCAACTCCTACCAGCTGTCACTTCCAAATCCAGAAGAATTAAAGGGCAAAAACAAACCAAAAAGGATAACCTAGACAAGCTCCTAAACCCTACGTAAATATCTCTGCTTCATCCAGTCGTACAAAACATACATGAATTAAATAAATATTTTTCCCATTCCTTCTTCAGAAATTATTCACAACTTTAATTTTCACAGTTCAAAATTCTTTAAAATTTTTAATTGTGGTAAAAAAAAATACCATATAACTTACCATCTTAACATTTTTAAGTGTACTGTTAAATAGTGTTAAGTATGTTCACATTGTGTATCATCTCTAGAACTTTTTCATCCTGCAAGACTGAAACCCTGTATCCACTGAACACTGACTCCCCATTGAAACATATTTTTAAAACAACTCATTGGCATTTTCCTGTTTATAAAATGAATACGTTCACAGAAGTAAATAAAAATCACTAACCCCTGATTATGTCCGAGTAGGGGGGTTACATTTAGGGGTACACTCCAGCCTTACTTCTGTTTCTATGAATAGAAAATATTAATATGAGGATACTTCAAAAAATTTGTGGAAAAATGGAATTAAAAGATAATACAAATCTTTTCATGAACTTTTTGAAGTGCTCTTGTATTTGTTTTTAAGTTGAAAAATAGAAGTCCTGTTTTCTAACCTGCTTTTTAAAATTTACATCATAAACATTTTCCCATGTCATTAAATATGACACCGATTGCCATATATTATTTTATTTATTATTTAACCATTCCCCTATTGCTAGTTATTTAAATTTCATCCAATTATTTCACTTTTTTTCTTTTTGTGACGTACTTGATTGTACTTATCTGTGGGGTACAGAGCTGAACATCAATACCTGTGTGCAATACGTGATGCTCAAATCAGGGTATTTCACTACTATAAATAATGCCAAAACAAATTTCTTTGCACATAAATCTTTGGATTTACTCTTCATAATTTAGGACAAATTCCTAGAAATGGCACTGCTGGGTCAAAGGGTGTCTATTTTAAGGTTTTTAATGCACACTGACAAATTTTCCTTCACAAAGGTACACTCTTACTAATAGTATTTGAGTGCCTGTTTCATTACACCTTCATTAACACTGCAAATTACTACTTTAGCTTTAAGTTCCACCACATCTACACTTTAGGAGGGCCCAGTGTTATTAGTGTTATTAGTGGTATTAAGATAAGGTCATAACTCTATATGCACCATCAAAAATGCAGTTTGTTATTGCCCAGGCAGAAGATACAGAATTCTTGCTTCTACACCAAGAATTCTGTTATAGAATTTTAAAGATTCCTTTAAAGTTGACAGTCAGCAGCATACCTGTCCTGACCTGAAGTTCTGAATTTTTTCTAGGGTGGATCATTTTGCTGGGATCACCAATCTCATAATTAGAGGCAGAAAGACTCAGAAAAAAAAAGAGGAGCTGCTCATATAATTCAAAATGTTCTTCTGGCAAGTCAGAGTTTGTGTTACCATTAAATTATACAGCTATCCAACTTTCAAATAAACACTCATTAAACCCTGCAGACAATTCACAGACAAGTGTTACTGGCTTTCCAAATTATTGGCAGAAAAATTAAGTGCACACACTATACGAAAATGATATGACTGATCCACAGTATAACCAAATCCGTGAAATAATGAGATGCTTTAGAACCTGTGTCACACACATTTAAAAAACCATTTGTACTATGCTCATCCACACATTTCCAGGAAGGGGGCAGGGAATGGAAAGCAGGGCATACTAGGAACGGCTCTCACCGAGCACGGAGGGCACCTTAGAGTGCTCCAACTTCCCGGGGCTGGCATTGCCAGCGGCGCGGTTCGTGCTGGTGCAGGAGGGGCTCATGCCAACACAGTCCGGGTAGTAGGCAGAGAGCAGGGGTGCTGCCACGCTGTCTTTCAGCAAAGGAGGTAGGATGAGCATGGAGTACCACCAGTGGTTGGCCACTTCCGACACTCTCTGAAATGGGCCAAGCAGGAGCAAGAAGACAACATTAAGAAATGTACATGAAGATTCCACCAAGGACAGAGGATGCTCCTCATTTCATTCATCCTTAACCCTTCTACTCGGTCTTCTCCCACTCAGACTTAACAATTCTGCACAAACAGAAATAAAAGTGAACTGATGACACCTGGAGAGAATGTTTCCTAGGCAGAATTCTTTCTGATACACAGCAACAGCCTCCCACTCCCCCAAAAAACACCACCGATACCAGGAGAGTCTTAAAACTGTGTCCATTTACTATACTGCAAGCCCAGATTTACATCTGAAGTGGTAAATTTCTTTCTGCTCGGTAATCATCTCTCGTCCAGCCCCCTTTTTACTTAGGATCTCAAGATAGTTGATATTGAGAAACTGAGCATAAAAAAATCATTCTCCTAAGTAGTCGTCAAGCATTATTGCTTTTGCTAAAGGCTACTAAATTGACTTTCAGAGAGAAAAGTACCCAGCAACCATCAAAAGAGGATGTCAGGGCCGGCCCGGTGGCGCACTGGAGAGTGCGCCTCTTGGGAGTGCAGCGGCGCTCCCGCCGAGGGTTCGGATCCCATGTGGAGACCGGTTCCCGCTCGCTGGCTGAGCACGGTGCGGGAGCAACGCCGAGGGTTGCGATCCCGTTACCAGTCAGTAAAAAAGACAAAAAGGACAAAAAAAAAAAAGAGGATGTCAGATGTAGAAGTGAACAGAAGAAGCTATTTTCAGTCTTCAAACATGTGATCACGTTCCAGAGCTGATTTAACATATGGAGTCACTGGATCAAAGTGTCCCTATGATGACTGACTATTGCAATAAAAATAAAATTTATGTGTCTTCTAAAGCAACATTGCCACAAATCCTATGTTAGACAGATGGACTTCTCTAAATGCAATCTTAAATGTATGCTCCAGGAATGCTAAGAATTGGATACAGGAGAACTTCAGGGACCCTCCTTTACTAGTTCTCCAGGCTCTAATCAAATGCCATGTGCCATCAAGCAGAAGTTTGTGAATTCAAGGTCAAATCCAGCTTGAAGATGCATTTTGGACTTCAGACTTCACAGAGTCCAAATCTGGGACAAGCATTTTTCAGTTTACTACAAGTTCCAACTCCCCCTAGAAAGAAATCCCTGCTGCCTCACATATTCATCTTACTTGTCCAGCCCCTGCAGGAATCCGAGTCCTCAATCTTTGCTCTCAAGGCTTCTTTTAGGTTTGGTCATCTTTGGCCAGCCTATGCTGTACCAAAAGAAGGGGAGCTCTGGCTCCTTCCCCAACAGACCAGGTCTGCCTCTAAAAACCTCCTTCCTAGCTCAGTCCCAAGGAAAGCGCAAACTGCTGTATTCAGATCCTGACGCTCCGAATGGACCACGTACAGGGGAAAATGTTGGTGCCCTAACAAACATGAACCCAGGCTCTTCCCATACTCTTCTGTTTCCTGGGTCATGCAGCTGTGTGGGTAAACTGAGTCAGGATCAAGAGATATCCTGCCATTTTGCTACTTATCCACTCTTTCTTCCTCCTAAGAAGCCCACTTGAGGGAGCCCCAGCCCATCCTCTGCATTGGTGTAGAAGGAAAAACAGCAACTAGCGCTTGCTCCTGCTCGTGTCTTTGCTCAGCACTCATACCATTCCTGGACGCCTGGCTATAAGTTTGTCAATTTGCCATCAGAAATACCACCCTCACCTCTACCACATATACTACTGAAGAAATCACACTTGATATAGTCAATCTATTAGAAGAGTTACAAATACCCACTGTGCTGGGTTGGGTTAAATAGTGTTCCCCCAAAATTCATGTCCACCTAGAACCTTAGAACATGATCTTATTTGGAAAGAGGGTCTCTACAGATGTAATTAGTTAAAGTGAGGTCATACTGGAGTAGAGTGAGCCCTACAGTCACTAAGACTTGTGTCCTTATAAGGAGGAGGAGAAGAGACACAGAGACAGGGGACACACAGGGAAGAAGCCACATGATGATGAAGGCAGAGATTGGGGTTGTTCATCTACAAGCCAAAGGAATGCCAAGGATTGCTGGAAACCACCAGAAGCTAGAAAAGGCAAGGGAGGGCCCTCCTCTTGAGCCTTCAGAGAGAGCATGGCCCTGCTGCCACCTTAATTTCAGATTTCCAGCCTCCAGAACCGTGAGCAAATTACACTTCTGTTATTTAAGCCACCAGTTAGTGGTGACTTGTTACAGCAGCCCAAGGAAACTAATACAGCTGCTCATAATTTAGAAACTGCTTTAAAAGTGACCCTAGAATACATAGGAATAGAAAAAGGGTAAAAGTACATGATTATGGCTATAAAGTTGTACCTGACTCGTTCTTATCTGAACACAAAAATAAATAACTGGCAGATGAACATCACGGACTCACAGAAATTTTTTAAAGTTCTTATATCCCATGAATATGGCTTCTGTCCTAAAGTTCAGATTCTTCTGGGTCAAAATGGTCTCAATATTAGGGAACAGATGAATAAGGTATTTTAAATGTATTTAAAGTTATTTTTCATTTCTTTCTATAATCTCATCCTGTCTATTCCAAATCTGAAAATTATTTGGGCCACTGCTTTACTATGGCAATGGTTGAGGCTACAACCTATTATTAAAAATATTTATGTGTGTGTACATATACACACATAGATATCACATCGCTTTATATAACAGAATGGATTTAAAGCAGATTTGTTAGGTGTCAATTTTCCCTTTGACTAAAAATCCATCATAGTTGCTGAGTTTCAGACATCTAGAACAACTTCAAATTAACAACCCTGAATCATTGGAACTCAGAATTCTCAGGATTTTAGAAACTCAGAAAGCCAGAACTTTAAAAATCATATTCTGAAACAGCCACTGGTTGCATGGCGCATGGAGCTTGCCAACTAAGGTAGCAAAGTTTCATGAAGACACATGAAATGTGCCAGCCAGAGACACCGCTCCCCTCCCATATCTGGGTGTGGGCAGGACAAAGCAGTTACCCTGAGGTCAGAACGCACAGGAACACTCCTGCAACTGAACCCAGGCCAAGACAATCAAATTATGGCCATCTTGTTCTTTTCTTAGAAGGTTTCAAGTGCAGAAAAGGTCACAAAGTCATCCTTGAAAAACAAGTACAGCAAACCTGATCCCTACAGCAAGACAGGGGAGCAGTGTCTTCCTCTTCATTCCCTTTTCAAGTAAAGCAACATGACTTTTCTTTTTTTAAGCTGAGGGGTGGAGGGGGAATCACTAATCATACCACTACGGCTAATATAGTTACCAAGTTAGACTTAAAAGTCTTTGATCAGTAACCAAATAGATAGAAACTCTTAAAGTTTACTGTCATTTACTTGTAGTACTTATCATTGAAGGCACAATTAAGTCCAAGCCAGAACATGCAGAAATACTCACTAGATCCTCTGGGAGAGAACAATGATCTGAGGTCTCGGGCTGCAAAAGAAAACCGAGTGTTAATTAGGCTTACTTATAAAATACAATTTGAAGTGTCAATTTACCTTCAATGAGATATCTTTTTTCACCTATTAAAGTGGCAAAGAGAAAGTTTGATAAAACACTGTATGAGTGAAGGTGTGGAGAAACATGTACTCATAAGAATGTTCCTGGCAGAAATATAAAGGAAAATAACAACTAAAGAGAGCAGTCTGACAAAAATATGAACATTTTAAATGCACAATAATTCGACATGATCTTGTATAACTGAAAATATACTCTATGCCCAGCAATTCTAACCTTGATATATTTTCCAGAGAGACCCCTGTACATGTATACCAACAGAAGTATTAAAGTCTTCAAAGGATCATTGTTCGTAATAGAAACAACCCAAATGTAGAATGAATAAATAAACTGTGCTATATTCAAACAATGGCATGCTACATAACAATGGGAATGAACTACACACAACAACATCGATGCGTCTCACGGACATAATGTTGAGTGAAAGAAGCCAGACCCAAAAGAATACATACCGTATGATTCCATTTACACAAAGTTCAGAAGCAAGCAAAGAAATCTGTAGCATTATAAATCAGAATAGTAAGTAGGTAGTTACTCTAAGAGAACAAAGGATGGAGGTTGTAGCTGAAAGGGGGCAGGTGAGTGTTTGATTTCTTTATTGGAAGCTGGCTAAATGGAAAACACTGCTGGGAGAAATTAAAGAACCCTGAAAAGATGGGGAGATATACCATGGCCATGGGTCAGAACAGGGGTCAGTTTTCTGTTTGAATGTTATGTTTCCATAAGAAAAGTTGCCTAAATAAACTGAAGACTGGCATACCATATGGCCTAGTAATTCTAGTCCTTGGAATATATTTCAAAGAAATTCTTGCAAGAATGCTCACAGAAGCACTGTCTGTTAACAGCCAAAAACTAGAAACAACCCTTATGTTGGTACACATGAAAATAGATAAATTGTGGTATATTCACCCAATGTAATACTATTCAGCATGGAAAATTAATAAACCAGAATTTAGGCATAAACATGAATGCACCTCAAAAACCTCAATGTTGAATGAAAACAGCAAGTTGCAAAGACATACAAACAATATGATACAATTTATAAACAGTACAAAAATAGGCAAAACTTAACATGTTGTTTAGGGTTTCAAAAGTATGTATTAACTCTATAACAAAAAGTAAGAGAATGATAAATACAAAATTCAAAATACTGTTTTACCCTTGCAGGGAAAGGAGAGAAAGAACTACCGAAGAGCAAGGTGGGAGGTACAAAGCCATTGTTAGTGCTGCGTTGCCGGTTTCTTAAACTAGAGGGTGGATACATGAGTGTTTGCTTTAATTCTTTACTCTTTTTATATGAGAGATCTTCAAAAAGTTCATAGAAAGATTCGCATTATCTTTTAATTCCATTTTTTATAAACTTTTTGAAGTACCCTCATACAAACTATAAATCCTCTTTTGTGTCTATAAATTATTTCAAATTAAAATAAATGTATACACCATTTGACACAGAAATATTTCTAGGAATTGACCTGACAAATATATTCAAAAATGGCACAGATTCAAAGTTATTCCCTGCAGCATTGCCACTAGCAGTAAACATTTAAAAGTAACTAAATGCCCTTCAATAGCACTAAATTAAGCCTGGTATGTCCATTCAGTGGATTATTAGACAATCATTAATGAGAAAGAAGAGATCTTTATATACTAATATGGAAATATCTTTAAGATATATTAAGTGACAAATAGAAAGATCCAAAATAGTGTTATAGTTTGCCATCATTCTTTTTAATGTTGTTCTATAAATAAATTTTTCCCGATTGTCCTTGACAGCATACCATGCTGAACACCCAAATTACTCTGGGTCAGTAAACATCATATAAATAAGTATCATTTCAAAAGTTCTGGTTATGGATGGTAATCAATTCAGATGGAGCTATATAATGAAGAGGTCTCAAGGGAGAATGACTGGCAGGTGGGGCAGAGATTAAAGAGATTTGACATCATCCTCAGAAGTTGCAATTTAAGGAGACCATAAAGGCTTCAACTATAAAGTGGTGTGGGAGGAGAGAAGGCAATTACATTTTCAAAAACTTATGGAATCTGATCCCTCTGAGGCCCTCCCGGAAAAAAATGCTTGATGTAAAATACAGCCAACCAGGCAATAAATCAAAATAGCGAACTTGGGACAGAAGGAATTATAGTAAGAGAAATTGTAGAGAACAATAAATCCACATAAATATAGGAGTGAGAGTAAGCAATGAGGAACTATGGTTATAAAAGAATAAATAATAAAATCTCTGACAAACTAAAAAAAAAAAAACCTAACAGTTTGGGAGAGAAGAAAAGGGGAGGTAGGCTCAAGTGTGATGTAATTTACTTTTTCTGATTTCATACCAGGGTGTCAATCAATATCATCTAAAATTGAAACACTCAAAAAAATGTTTTTAAATTAGAATGATTCCAACTTCTTAACATTCTCAAAATGTATTTTCTTAACCTTTTAGGGAGTTTTTAGAAACTACTATTTCTTGGGATGAAATAACTATTCTATGTTCAACAATTTATTTCGCTTTGGCTTCTCTTTCTTATGTTAAATATATGTTATATTAAATTCAACCATTTTACAAAAAACCAGCAGGTAAAGCACTATGCTTTCATATGAAGCTATTTGTTGGCCAGGCCTTCTCCCTGTATATATACAGGAATAGTCTTGAATGAATCTCGTTCAATAGTGGTTATTTCATAATGATAACTTCATGAATTTCATCTTTGTTCTTTTCTATATTGTTTAAATTTTTCAATAATGAACACATATCATTTGTTTAAAAACAAAGCCATTTTAAAGAAAACAGAGCTTTAAAAAACTATTTAGAAAAGCTAAAAATGACAACTTCCACCCAAGGAAAAAATTTTTTTTAAAAAGGCACATGAAGAGTTTGAACAATTTGTAGAGATGAGGTCAATTCAATTATCAGCAGGTAAAAGAGAGGGGAGATTATGGATAACTCCAAATTATAGTTGAGTCAAAGCACAGAATAAAATGTACTATTTAGTAACACAAGATTATTACTCAAATCATCCAAAATCTTTTTTAAAAAACTGTTTAAAACTAAAAAAAATCACATAAATAGGATGAGCAAAAATGGCTCAAAAAGTACAATCTGTTAAAATAGTCTGCTATTTTTGACCGCTGCTTGGCTGAATTCTCCTTTCATTATTTTAATGAAATGCCATTGAGTCTACTTTTTACTTGAGAAGTAGTCTGGGACACAGGAGCTATTTACGTTCAGTGCAACCAAGACATTGTTTCTGCTACTGGACATGCTCCCTCTACCCCACCAGCCATGGTGTCTTCATTCCACAGACCCTAGTCCCCATCAGTGCAGCCATTCAGCCTGAAAATAAACTACCCACCCCCCCAGTATCAGCCCCCTCCCATCTTTTTTTCCCTTTTACCCTTCAGAGAGGCTTTCTACTCTGAAAGTTGAGCTTGAGAATCAATCAAGGGCTAAGCCAAAAGATTTTAGAAGAGGCTTTACCAATTCTAGGAACCTGCTCCGAGGCTTAGATCCATACTCCCAAATTACCAGCATCAAGAATAAAAGAAGAGGTACCACCACAGAGCCCACCAACATTAAAAGGAGAATAAAGAAACAGTACAAACAACTCTATATTAACAAATTTGACAGGATAGATGAAAAAGATTTCCTTGAAAAACACATCCTTCCAAAATGGACAAAAGTAATAAACCACCTATATAGCCATATATATGCTAAAGAAATAAAATCTGTAATTTATAAACTTCTTATAAAGAAAACTATTGGCCCAAATTGCTTCACTAGCGAAGTCAACCAAACACTAAAAAAGAACCAATATCAACCTTATACAACAAACTCTTTAACAAAATAGCATGAACTTCTCCATTTTTTTTATAGAGCTTAAAACTCTGAGAGCAGAATCTGATAAGGATATTACAAGAAAAGAAAATGACAGACAGTATTCATCATGAACACAGATGCAAAAATCCCTAACAAAATATAATCAAATCCAGCAATACATAAAAATCATAATTAATACAAGTGGAATTTTCTTTCCAGGAATGCAAGGTTGTTTAAACATTCTGAAATCAGTGCAATTCACTACATTAGCAGATTAAAGGAGAAAAACCAAATGATCATCATAAAATATGTAGAAAAAGTATCTGACAAAATTCAACATCCATTCATAATAAAAGTTCTCAGCAAACTAGGAAAAGAAAAGAACTTTCTCAATCTGATATAAGATATTTATGAAAAGCTACAGCCAACATTAAACACAATGAGAAATACTGAACATGTTCCTCTTAAGGTCAGGAGCAAGGCAGGCAAGTCTGCTTTCACCACTTCTATATAACATTGTCACTGGTGGTCCTCCCCAATGTCACAAGACAAGAAAAAGAAAGCAAAAAAGGACTGAGAAAAAGCAAAGCAATCTTTATTCACAGTTGATATGATTGGTTTGTGGATAACTCAAAGGAATCTACAAAAAGATTTGTGAAATTTAAAAGGGAGGTCAACAAAGTCTCTGCATATAAAGTCAGTACACAAAAACCAACTGTATTTCTATATAATTGCAACAAACAACTTAAAAATGAAGTTAAAAATAAATTCTACTTGTTATTGCAGAAAAAAAAATCTAGAAATAACACAAGACATAAAAAATATACTCAGGAAAAATTAGAAAACACTGCTGGGAGAAATTAAAGAACCCTGAAAAGATGGAGAGATATACCATGGCCATGGGTCAGAACAGGGGTCAGTTTTCTGTAGGGGCCAGAGAGTAAATAGTTTAAGCTGTGTGGATCATCAACTGCTATAGGGTGAAAACAGCCACTACATAATGAATAAGCATGGCTGTGTTCCAATAAAACTTTATCTACAAAAAGAGGTGCAAGCCAGATTTGGCTCATGAGCCATTGCTTGCCAACCCCTGGATAAGAAGACTGAAAAACATAAAGATGTCAGTTCTCCTCCAAATGATATATAGATTCAATGCATTCTAATCAAAATCCCAGAGGCATTTTAGTAGATACTAACACACTGATAATGAAATGCATATGGAAACATAAAGGACATAAACAATCCTGAAGAAGAAAAACACTGCCCAGCCGCCAAAAAAAGAAAAGAAAAGAAAAACAAAGCTGGAGGAACTCACGCTACCTGATTTTAAGACTTACTATAAAGTTACAATAATCAAGAAAATAAAGTATTGGGTAAGGATTAACAAAGGTAGTCCAGAAATAGACCTACATATTTAGTAAACTGATTTTTTTTATACTGGTATCAAAGATAATTCAATGGGAAAAGAATAGTCTTTTAAACAAAGGGCACCGAACAACTAAATATCTAAATGTATGGAAAAAAAAAACCCACGAAATTTGGTCAACCCCTCACATCAAAACTTAACTAGAGATACATTAGTGACCTAAATACAAAAGGCTAAAACTATAAATCTCCTCAAAATACGATATCTTTGCAAGGTGAAAGGTAGTCAATTGTTTCTCAGAAAAAACACAAAAAGTTCTAAGCATAAATTAAAAAAATGCATAAACTGGGCTTCAAAATTTAAAACTCCTGCTCAGCAAAACACCTATTAAGAAAATGAAAAGAGTAAATACAGACTAGGGAAAAATATTTAAAATACATATTCATATTCAAATTATTTCAAGAACTCCCGCAAATCAGTAAGACATCCAATTTACAAAAAAAAAAAAAAAAAAAAAAACCACGTATTTTCTTAAGAGGAATCATGAATGGCCAATAAACATATGAAAAAATGTTCACCATCACTAGTTATTAGGGAAACTAGTGTTAGTTCACCACAATGAGATACCAGTACACACCCACTAGAACGACTATAATTAAAAATTAAAAAAAAAAAAAAAAAAAAAGGAATGGCACTGCCAAATGCTGTCATATTGTACACAACCATAGAAAACTATTCGGTAGTTTCTTAAATATTAAACATATATTTTCCACATGACTCAGCAATTACACTCCTATATATTTACCCATAAGAAATGAAAACATAGGTCCATGAAAACACTTGTACAGAATGTTCACTACAATTTTATTCACAATGGAAAAAAACTTAAAACAACACAAATATCCTTTGACAGGAGAATGGGTAAACAAATTGTAGCATATATACAATGAAATCTAGTCAGCAATAAAAAAGAAGAAACTACGGATGCGTACAATATAAATCTCAAAAACAATTGTACTCAGTGAAAGAAACCAAACACTAAAGAATACATATTGGCTGACTCCATTTTTATCAAGTTTAAGAGGAGGCGTAACTGATCTATGGGGAGAGAAATCAGAACAGCAGTTGCTACTGCGGGGAGGGGAGAAAATAACTGGAATTTTTCAGGGTGATGGAAACACTGTGTACGTTGATTGGCGTACTGTCTACACATTGCAGACATCTTCCAAAACTCAATGAAGTTCATTTAAGATGTGTGCATATAATTATATCCTGTAATTATACCTCAATAACAAAAATAAGATGTAATTTTACATCTATTAAAAATACTACTTCTCAAAGCAGGTAAGGTTTTGATATAATGATCACTCTGAGCTATACAGGTCTTTAAACATTTTAAAAGTAGTTTGGATATTCATATCAACAGCCTTTAAAAAACATGCCTTCCATAAATACGTAATCAAGTGCCTTTTTAAAAATTCCAGTAGGATAAATGAATCACAAAAAGTGGTAATCTATTAAAGCAGGAAGGAGATGATTAAGGAGGACTTTGATTTTTTATTTGTATATTATATGCATATGTATGTATTTATACATACATACACACATTCCATTTACTTTTTTTAAATCCTAAGAATATATTCATATAAAACTTATGTAAAAAGGAATTTTTTTTTTTTTTTTTTGGGCAGCTGGCCAGTATGGGGATCTGAACCCTTGACCTTGGTGTTTTATCATCAAACTCTAACCAACTGAGCTAAGTGGCCAGCCCCAAATCTCATATTTTGATCAAGGGAACTTTTTTTTTTTTTTGGCAGCTGGCTAGTACAGGGATTCAAACCCATGACCTTGCTGTTACCAGCACCATGCTTTCCCAAGTGTGCTAACTAGCCCGCTTTATGTAAAACTTAAAACAAAAAATATATCTCCTAATGGGCCGGCCCGGTGGCGCACTGGATAGTGCGCCGCTTGGGAAGCGCGGCGGCGCTCCCGCCTGAGGGTTCGGATCCCACATACAGACCGGTTCCCGCTCACTGGCTGAGCAAGGTGCGGGAGCGGCACCAAGGGTTGCGATCCCGTAGCTGGTCCCGGTCCGGTACGGGGGCGACACTGAGGGTTGCAATCCGTTGCCGGACACGGAAAAAAGACAAAAGACAAAAAATATATATATATATATATATATATCTCCTAAATGTTCATACCTTTTTTCCTATTTTACTTTGCAACATCTTCCAAAATTTTTAATAATTATGCATACATATATTATATTAATATTTTAAATCCCAGGCTTTTAAAAACTTGATCATAAACTTTATAAAACTTTCCATTCATTCTTTAAAAGGAAAATATTTGAATTAAGAAAGTATTTTGCTGGTAATAATTGCATATCTCTGTGAATATACTATAAACCACACTACCTGATTTTAAGACTTACTATAAGATACAATAATCAAGAAAATAAAGTTGTATGGTGAATTAATGGTATATAATTTTAATTTTAAAACAGTGAATTTTATGGTATATGAACTATATGACAATTTTTAAAAAAGAAAGTATTTTTCTTCTGGGGAGTTACAATGAATCCTAATATTCTTTAATGTTCTCAAGATACAAGTAATATTTGCGTAAATTAAATGCCTTTAGCACACTAAAGCCATTACATAATTTTATATATTAGGTAATTGCCAAATTTCAAAAAAGAGACTTATTCCAACTATGGCTGATTCCTAACTGCCAAACATACCCATTCATCCCTTCTTCCTTACTAACGAGATCCTGGTTGTTGTTGCAACATGCTGCTGTAAAATATTTTCTCCCTTTGTCCTCACTGTTGTTCAGAATAGCTACATGATCCTTCTCTGGCCAATGAGACACACATAGAAATCTATGGTTAGAATTTCCAGGAATATACTCAATAAAAGAGGGACAGACTCAGCTGGCACACCTCTCTTGCCCTTCCCCTCTTTTCTGCTCAGAATTTGTACACAATGGCTGGTGGTGCAGTAACCATCTTGTGGCATTGAGGATGGAAGATAAAATAAAGGTGGCTGGACTGGAAACTAGGAAGAGACTTCCTTGGGAAATTTAAAGCAACCATGACAGCCTATTTCCAAACTTCTTATAATGACAGAAAAAGCAAATCCTTAATTTGTTAAGCCATTGAGCTGGGGTTATGTTATATGTTCACCAACACAATCCTGATACAATGAACACAATAAATGAAAAATATATAGCATTACTACTCATATTTGCTGACAACTAAATTCACCTATCAGTTAATTCAAAAGAGACAGATTCACAGGCAAACTTATAGAGATCATACCTTGACAGCAGTATTTGGTTTCATACCACATCGGTAAGTCTTCGCTATCTGTGGAGTAAGCTGGATTTCCTTGGTGAGTTGTCTCCATTTTCTACATTCAGGTTTTATACACTGAACCTAGATGGGAAGTAATAAGTCAGGATCAATAACTCAACTAATCTTGAGCTACTGTTTTTATCCTTCACCATTTTACTCTGCCATGTTCTTCACATGATTTGACCAACTTTTAGCAGTCCTAAGTATTTTTTCTCCCTCTTGCATCACTACAACCCATAGAATCCACTTCTACTCCTTTAGGGTAATTTCTGAATCAATACTAGTTCAGCCATCAGGAAAGCGCAAAAGGAATCTGAGTACTACTGTCAGAAAGCTTTCCCAGCTCTAACCTAAGGAAATAATCAGAGTTAAATTTAGGTAAAGTTAGTCAAAAAGCATGCACACTAAATGCAACATGTTATCCCGGGTTGGATCCTGGAACAGTAAAAGGATATTAGTGAAAAAACTGATGAAATCCAAATGAAGTCTATAATGTAGTTATTAGTACTGTACAATGTTAATTTCTTAGTTTGACAAATAATCACGGTATGTAAAATGATAACATCTGGAGAAACTGAGTGAAGGATATATGGGAACTATCTGTACTATCTTAACAACTTCTTGTAAATTAAAAATGATTCCAAAATAAAAAGTTCGTGTAAAATAAAAAATGCAGATATCCATATACAAAAGAAAGAAGTCAGACCCTCTACTTCACACACACACAAAAATTAACTCAAGATGGATCAAACATCTAAACGTAAGAGCTAAAATGATAAAACTCTTAGAAGAAAACATCAGGAGTAAATCTTTATGCCCTCAGATTTGGCAATGGATTCTTAGCTGTGATACCAAAAGCACAAGCAACAAAAGAAAAAAATAGATATACTGAACTTCATTAAAATTAAGAACTTTTGTGCAAAGGACACTATCAGAGTGAAAACACAATCTATAGGGGAAAATATTTGCAAATCATAGGTCGGACAAGGGTTAAGTATCCAGAATTTAAAGAACTTTTAGGGGCCGGCCCAGTGGCGCACTGGATAGTGCGCTGCTTGGGAAGCGCGGCGGCGCTCCCGCCCGAGGGTTCAGATCCCACATACAGACCGGTTCCCGCTCACTGGCTGAGCGAGGCACGGGGGCAACGCCGAGGTTTGCAATCCCGTTGCCGGTCCCCGGTCCGGTACGGGGGCAACACTGAGGGTTGCGATCCGTTGCCGGACACGGAAAAAAGACAAAAAAAAAAAAAAAAAAAAGAACTTTTACAACTTAACAACAAAAAGATAAACCACTCTATTTTAAAATGGGCAAAGGACTTGAATGGACATTTCTCCAAAGAAGACATAAAAATGGCCATCATGCACATGAAGAGATGCATTAGTCATCAAGCAAGTGCAAATCAAAACCGCAATGAGATACCACTTCACATCCACTGCAAATCGTATTCAGACAAATACTTGTACATGAGTGTTCAAAGCATCACTATTCACAATAGCTAAAAAGTTGAAACAACCCAAATGTCCATCAACAGATGAATGATTTTAAAATGTGGCATATCCATTCAATGGAATATTATTCACCCATAAAAAGAATGAAGTGCTGATACATGCTACAATATGAATGAACCTCAAAAACACTATGCTAAGTGAAAAAAGCCAAACATGGAAGGTCATTTACTGCATGATTTCATTTACATGAAACATTCAAAATGGGTAAATCTATAAAAACAGAAAGCAGATTAGCAGTTGCCAGGAACTGGGGGGATGGAAAATTAGGGGGTGATTGCTTAAGGGTACAAAGCTTTCTTTGTGGGTGATGAAAATATTTTGGAATTAGATAGAGGTGGTGGTTGCACAACACTGTGAAAATACTAATTGCCAATGAACTGTACACTTTAAAATGGTTAATTTTATGTTACATGAATTTCACATCAGTTAAAAAAAAATTTTAAGTGTGCACAGAGAGGCTCAGAATTACTTACAATGTTAAAGAAATTAGCAAATCATTTATAAAATGGTGGTAGATTTATACAATATATGCAATCACTAAAATATATTTTCAAAGAATGACTAAATGGAAAAAGGGTAATATAAAGTTAAATTAATAAATAAAACCCTATAAATTACAAAAAATCATATCCCAAGTATGATTTTAAATCTAATTAGGATTTGTATATAAACAAACACATAAAAATAAGAACAGAAAAAAAGATTAGAAAGATGTGCACCAAGGTCAGCAATCACTATCACTAGCTGATAGTGAGTCGCTAGCGAGTCGATGTTCAACTATCTAAGCTCTCTCCAAAAATAAAAAAATATTTGCTTCAATAGTCACAGAAAGAACAATAAATGTAATAAAAGCAAGATCTCCTAAAAATCAGTATTTTCACCCATTACTCTTGCTTTAAGCTCTGTAAATGCTTTATAGAGCAATAGAGATCATTCTTCTTACCCAGTAAGGGAGCTGTTGATCTGCCATGAAAGCTTTGGGACTGGGCTCAGTTTTGCCATTGCTAGTCCATACTTTTTTCCAGGTAATATATTTGTCGTATCCATCCTTGTGGCTGAAAAACAATAAAAATAAATATGTCAAGTTGTTAAGTTAATCGGATTTTCAAAATAGGAGGCATGTTGGTAAATCTTATGTAAGGGACTTAACAAGTCTCACTGTAAGGGAGGCGGAGAGTTATTAACTGGCACCCATAAAACAGGCAGTGAGAAGGGTTGCCAGTTTTACTATCAAACTAATAAGGTTACAATATTATTTGAAGAGGAAATTAGGATATTTTTAAAGGTACATACTAAATCCTAGGGCAGCCATTTAAAAAATTACATCAGTTAAAAAAAGATTACATCAATAGATAAAATAAAATACAATCATAAAAATGCTCAGTTAATATCAGAGAAGTTAGAAAAAAGAAGGGGGGAAAACACACCACATGGAAAACAGTAAGATGACATTTTGTTTGGACCAGTAAGGGGATCACAACCCTTGACACAGTGTGGTCTGCACCATGCTCAGCCAGTGAGTGCACCAGCCATCCCTATATAGGATCCGAACCCGCAGCCTCGGTGCTACCAGCGCCGCACTCTCCTGAGTGAGCCATGGAGCCGGCCCAAGATGACATATTTTAATCCAGTTATATCAATAATCATTTAAAACATGAATAAAGGGCTGGCTGGTTAACTCAGGTAGTTAGAACACAGCGTTGTAACACCAAGATCAAGGGTTTAGATCCCTGTACTGGCCAGCCACCAAAAAAAAAACCAACAAAAAAACCAAACATGAGTAGTATAAACTTATAAATTAAAAGAGAGACTGTATGTGGGATTTAAAAAATTATATGCTGTATACAAGAAACCTACTTTAAATACAAAGATTCAGAAAGGTTAAAAGTGAAGAAATGGAGAAAGGTAAATCATGCTAACACTAATGAAAAGACAGCTGAAGCAGCCATACTAATCTGAAAAAGGAATATTATCAGGAATAACAAGGACAAGGGATACTACATAAAGGGGACAATTTTCAGAGAAGCCATAATAATCCTAGATGCACAATGTAACTACATTGATTGAGATGAAAAATACATGAGGTAAAAACTTATAGAACTGAAAGGAGAAATAGACAAATCAGCACTATAGTTGGAGACTTCAAGAGAATTAAAATTGCAGACTTTAAGACACCTCTCTTTGTAATTAAAAGGTCAGGTGGGAATAAAATCAAAGGATGTGTATGACCTGCACCACACTATCAACTGACTTGACTTGCTGACATTTACAGACCACTGCATATGACAACGCTAGAATACACATTTTTCTCCAATGCACATGGGACATTCACCAAGATACACCCCATTACGGGCCATCAAGCAAACCTCAATAAATTTAAAACACAGAAATCATACAAAGTACATTCTTAGAACATTACAGAATTAAACTAGATATCAGTACCAGAAAAATTGTTGGAGATGTCCCAAATATCTGGAAATTAAACAATTTCTTTCTTTTTTTTTTTTTTTTTTTTTTTTGACCAGTAAGGGGATCGCAACCCTTGGCTTGGTGTCGTCCGCACCGCGCTCAGCCAGTGAGCGCACCGGCCATCCCTATATAGGATCCGAACCCACGGCAGGGGCACCGCTGCGCTCCCAGCGCCACACTCTCCCGAGTGAGCCATGGGGTCAGCCCAACAATTTATTTCTAACTAATCTATGGGTCAAAGAAAAATTAAAAAGTATTTTGAACTAAATGAAAATAAAAGTTACTACAATTTGTGGAATATAGCTAAATCAGTGATTGCAGGAAAATTTATAGCATTAAATGCATTTACTGGAAAAGAAGATCTAAAATCAATAACTTAAGCTTCCAAGTTAGGAAATCAGAGAAAAGAGAAAATCAAATCTAAAGCAAGCAGAAGAAAGTAAATAATAAAAATCAGAGTGTAAATCAATGAAATTGAAAACAACAAAATGGAGAACCAACAGCTCCTATGTTTTCCAGAACTTGCAGACTAAAGAAATTAACTGTCATATAGCAGATATTTTTCAGGTCCTGCGTGTGTACACACAAGAGCATGCACACATGCAACCTATAGCATCGAAGTTCTGGTCAAAGTTACAGTTGCCACAGGCATGGCTGGAACAGTCAACTAATTCAGGAAGCCCAGGGCTAAGCCATAACCAACCCCTTCTGCTGCCTCTGCACTGCCCCCTCCACCATGGAAAACTCAAAAGCAATTAGTGCACAAACCTTCTGTAGTAATGGTCAAAGCACTCATTACAGAAATGTTCCCCACAGGAGAGGTGATACCATCGGGATGTGTAGCCATTTTTGGCACATCTGAAAATAGCACAAATATGTAGCTTTGGTAATGAATAAACATTTATTTTCACTTTTTTAAAAAATATATATTTAGCAAGCATCTCCTATGGGCCCATTTTGCACTATCTCCACTGAGACTCCTAACAACCCCAAGCTAACCACAGAGGAAATTGGAGTGGATGACTGATAAGATACTACTACACAAATTATTAATAAAGGGAGCATTAAGGAGGGTGTGGTGTATACAGAATGTCCAAGTTATATCTCTATTATTAGAAGACTCACAGTATCTATATCTATCTTTAGGAAAACTATCTTCAAGGATGATGTTCCCACAAAGAATGCTCTCGGGAGGCCAAGACCCGATGTCTGAATGGACTTTCAGAAGCACTTGCAAAGCATACAGGACATGTGGCCGCACAGTGGCCTTTTCACATTTCCTGTGACCTTCCATCTTCATCGTACAGGGACTTAGACCAGTGGTCTACCTAACCCTCCTGGGGCTTAGGAGCCTTAACGAGACTCCATGGAGTAAAGATGGGGTTTTACGACATGAAATGGTGATGCTGCTCACTTGCTGTAAGTTGCATGTGTGTGAAGGAGAGAAGCAAGGTCTCTAGTAATAATATCTGGCCCAGTATTGAACAGTGAATGAATCTGGCCAGCTGCAATTGGAAAATCAATCTGGCAAATATAACTTGTCAAACAGCCAATAATACAGCAGAAGACTGAAAAATCATGCCACTATGAACAGGACCACCACCACCTCTTTGTGTTTAAAAAGTGGGATTTGTTTTCCAGGTTTTATTGAATCTTAAGCCTTAACTGAAGATTTTTCTCCAGAAGTCAAAAAAGGTCATACTTGTGTCATCTCAAAAAAAAAAAAGGGCAAGACTCGGCTACATAGTTTCTGAGACTTGTGTATGGATATGGGAAATGGAGGTTTGTAATACGAGGGAGAAAAGCAGCACAGGGAAAAGTACATGCATGCTGGTCTGGACAGGGAGATGAAGGGTTCTCTCCACTGTGTGGTCCATACCCCGTCCCATGCTCGACACCCAGCTATGGTTGGTTGGATTTGAGGACACTGTATTACAAAGTTGACATGGGTGCAGTCTCTCCCAGTAGGCTAAGTGTGACGGGAGCATTAAGGAGAGTGTGGTGCATACAGAACGTCCAGGCAATATCTCTATTATTAGATGACTTTCAAAATCTCTATCTATCTTTAGGAAAACTATCTTCAAGGATGATGTTCCCACAAAGAATGCTCTCAGAAGCCAAGACCCAATATCTAAACAGACCTTTCAGAAGCACTTGCAAAGCATACAGGACACGTGGCCGTACAGCCCGCCTTTTCACATTTCCTGTACTTCTTTTCTGACCCACCATCTTCATCTTCATCTGCCATCTCTGTTGCTTTTTTCTTCGCCTGAGGGAGAACCAGCTGAGGATAAGATTTCACCAGAATGACCAGGGGTGAAGGCTGTGGAAGGTTTACTACTGAATCACATCCAGGTTAGAAGATCAATGACATCCTGGCAGTAGGTTAGGAGCTGACGCAGCAATTTCCTCATGACTGTACCGTGCAAATAACTCACTAACTCGCTAGAGATACACGAGGGTACTCCAAAAAGTTCACGGAAACATTCATATTATCTTTTTAACATTCATATTATCATTCTATTTTCCTATGAACTTTTTGAAGAACCCTCGTAGAAGTAGCACTTTAACAACAGTGAGCTGAGGAAAGAACTAAAATTCATGTGACCCTTTCTTAGGAAAAGGTGACAACCGTCAAAGTAAACAAAAGGCATTCTCAAATTAAGATTTTTTTCTTTATTTAGAGTGGTTACACTCTCTCAGTATTGAAGATAAAAACAAAAAAAACTAGAAAAATTCTAGAAAAAGAATTATATCATTGAATTTTTTCTTTAAAAAAAATAAATAAAAGCCCCACAAATTAACGCTCCAACAGCACCCAACCAACTACAAGCTGAAGTCCAAATTTCTATGAGTAACAGCCAAGCCAAGCCTGATCTGGCCCCAACCTCATATCCTGGAAACAACCACACAGCTGGATTCTCGGGATGCCCCATGCCAATTCACACTCTATGCCTTTACACTTGCAGTTGCCTCTGCCAGATACACTACTATGTTCCATTTCCCATCCCTTTATCACACTATACTAGGGTTGCATTGTGAATTTCTCCACTAGACTACAAGCCCCTTGAGGACTGGAGTTGTGTATTTTCATCTCTAATTCTCCAGTCCCAATCAAAATAATCCTGCATGCTTAAAAAAGATGTATCGAATAAATGAATAATACCTGCCTACCGGAGCTCCTCAAAGGAAGGCTGTCTGGAGAATGATCAAAAGGTGCTCTTTTCTTTGTCCTCCCCCGTGGGGTTGCCATTGTATGAGAAAATCTGCCAGAAAAAAATTAAACCATTAAATATTAGCATCTGCTAATGTTTTCAACAGCCTGGAGCAAACTTATTATGTAGTTTAGTAGGTAAGAGTGTATGCTCTGCGGTTAGACTGAGTATAAAGCCACCACTTTCAAGTCACTTAACTTCTGTAAGCCTGAGTGTTCTCATACATAAAATGGGCATAGTAAGAATGTCCTACAGCATTGGTGTGAAGATTAAACAAAATAACCTATTTAAAGCCAAAGAGCTGGCATATTATAAGTACTCAATAACTATTATCCATTAGTAGTATGCACATTTAAAGTGTGAAACATACCATATGAACAACCAATAAACAAATTACACTACTGTTTGTAAAATTCAATGAAGAAAAACACCTAATTTTTGTCTGTTATATTCCTCTTTATCTTGCTGTATCTTCTAGCAGCTCCTGAATTTTGATCTCTTAGTACACTTTAAAAAGAAAATTAATTCATTCCTTCTTAGTAAAATTCAAAGAAATATTATACACATTGTCTAGTCATCACTGAATAGAGTAGTAATCTGGATTAGATAGAACTGGTATCTCCTACTGGAAAAGTTTTGAGTTCTCAAACTAGTCTAATAACAATACGATTAAACAAACATTAACGACCAAAATCTACAAGAGAAATAATGCACAGTAACCATGAAATATTAAGAGTTATTAGATTTTTTTTTCAATTAAATTAGATAACGAAAGGGTTCTGATCCCCATACTGACCAGCTGCCAAAAAAAAAAATTACATAAGGAATGAAAAATGCTTACCATAGGTAAGTCCTCAATATTAATTCTGTAATTATCATTCATTTCCTCCTATGATCATATTTACTACACACCCACACACATACGTACACACAAAATGACAGAATGAAAAATAAGCAGGATCTATAGATAAGAAATATGAAAGTAGAAAAGTAATACTATAAAATACAAATTCCACACATCTTAATCTTGGAGAAAAGCTTTGAGGAGCTTGTAATCCTATTGCTTTAAATTTGTGAGGTATACTAACATCCATAAGAGTATTTTCCATGAATTATTAACATCACATGGAAAAACTTTCAGTTTGCCATCTACATTGACTGAGAAATCTCCCCCCAAACTCCCCTCTATTGATACATCGGACAAATGGTAAATCTCTTCATGATAGTCATCAACGTTCTGGACGGTTTTCCTTTGATTTAGTCTTCACTGTCTCAGAACCAATATTATGTTAGCTATGAACACATAAACTTTACATATTCTGAAACGCATTATAGTTATTTAAACACTAAATAAATTACCATTTAGTTCTACAGCATCCATTATACTGCTGGATAAAGTGCTAATAATGTTAAAAGTTCTATCTACCTATAATTGTTATACCCAAAGGCTTTCTAGACCTGATTGTTTGACGTTTCTGGGAACTATGCTTTCTTTTGGGAATGTATGCATTCCTAGGTGACATGGGCAGATATTGCTAGGCTGATTTCATTTATATTCCTAAACCCCACATTAGACTTCAAATATTTTTGCGATGATACTTATATATACTATATATTTCTGTATACTATATACATATTTACATATACTATATTTGTGGTTCATTTTATGAATAATGTATATATATATTATATATGAAGAGATATATATATACATGTATATAAGAATTCGTGTGTGTGTGTGTATGTATATATATATATATATATATATACATACACACACACACACGAATTCTTATATACATGTATATATATATCTCTTCATATATAATATATATATACATTATTCATAAAATGAACCACAAATATAGTATATGTAAATATGTATATAGTATACAGAAATATATAGTATATATAAGTATCATCGCAAAAATATTTGAAGTCTAATGTGGGGTTTAGGAATATAAATGAAATCAGCCTAGCAATATCTGCCCATGTCACCTAGGAATGCATACATTCCCAAAAGAAAGCATAGTTCCCAGAAACGTCAAACATTTAAATCTAACCATATACCGGAAAATATGTACTTAATGCAATAAAGAACAATAATTCAAGAAATGGTCTAAAAGGAAATGAAAACATTAGCTATAAAAGCCATTATTAAATCTGATTGAAGGTTTTTAAGGTAGTACATTCCACCTTTAATCATACAATTGAGGGTCATGTGCCACCATCCTTTTTTGGCACTTAATGTAATTTCTGTATTTCCACTCTTGCTAGATCCTTGGGTTTAGAAATGAAGGGAAAAAATTTTAAGTACTTTTTTCCACAACTGTGAGGTGGGGGAGATCCCTGCCCTGCTGGAGGAAACCTCCACCTGCCACCTCCAAGCCCCTCAATAAAATGGTTTGACCCCCCAAAAATAAAACCAAAAAATTTTAAGTTGGAAGGACTAAAGTTATTGTGCTTTTAAGTATAATGTTAGAAATAATGACCAAAGTGTCATTAAAACAAACTAGTATTTCCCAACTGATTCTTCAAATTAATAAACACACCTATATTTATAACCAATTTGTTTCATGTTCAATATTAGAAGCATTTTTTCTCCTAATTTTAAATTCATAGCTTTGGTTTTCTTTTAATGTGATAAAAGAAAGGGGAAAAAGTGGGGTTTTTGGTGGATATATCAACATTTAGATTTCTACTTTAATTCCCAGGTTTTTCTGAAGCAGAATTCATACAAATATGAACCAAAAGGACTCCAGGTTAGAATAAAAACTTATAATGGAGTCAGCATAATTTCTAAAAATAGGACAACTATTAGAAACTTCTTCAGAGACAAAAGAAACAGAAATTTCCCTTTCAGCCACTTAAAATGAGGCAGGACTAGAACCTTATTACTCCACACTAATCACATTCTCAGAAATATGGATAGAGTACAATAATTCAATATCGAATTATTCAATATTCAATATCCAATTCAATATATTAAATCCCAATTGCCTGGATGTCTTTTGTTGACTACTTTCTGTGCCTGAAGAAAATTAATGGTAAATTTTCTCACGTACCTCCTGAAGAAATCTTCCCTCTCACTCACCTTTCTTCCACTAATATAGATTAAAAATCAAAACAAAACTGGCAAAAGCCTTGAGTTGTGTGTATATACATGTGGGGGGAGGGGGGCGATCCCCGCAACTGCAGCGGTCTATGAAGTCCTGCAACTTTACCCAGGGGAAGACTGGGCCTCTACCTGGCGGGGTTCCAGATCACTGAACCCCAACTTTCTACAGCTGGGCCTGCCTCTTCCTTCCTCTTTCACCTGCCAGCTGCCAGACTGTTGACTAACAGCTACCGTAATCGGGCCGACCCCTCCGCGTCTCCAATCGCAGAGGAGTTACCCCAGCAACTGGGCAATGCTAATCAAGTCTCAATGCATGGTGGCTGTGCTGGAGAATCACTACACCTTCAAGGCTGTGCGGGCTCCTCGCCGCCACCTGATCGGCTGGCAAGAACAAGCGAGGGAGTTCCCACTCGCGAACTGTGTGGGGTTCCCCCCGCGGCAGACACCCGCCCGAATGACAGAGCTCTGACAGCCCCCAGGAGGGAACCCCAGCCCCCGGGTACCACCTGCGGCCGCCTCGCTTCCCGAAAAGCTTTCTCGTGTCTTCTCCGAAGTCGGAGAAGCAACAGCCCCCCAGGTTCACCTTTGCGCTGCAAAGGTGCAAGGAGTCTTGGGGAGAAGGCACCGCTGTACAGAAAGGAAACATTGTAGGGGGGTTAGGAGACCCGCAACCCCGCGACGAACGGGGGAACCCCGTCGTCACAACACCCCAGCCCGGGAATTCCCCCTTCCTCACACAGGGATCCCCACCCCGCACCCCCTTCCAATCGGGCGCGGAAGGTACCAGCCCCTGAGGTACCCGACCCCTCCCACCCGGGCGAGGGGCGCTGCGCAGGGGGAGAAGCAGGGCTTGCACCCCAGCCGAACCGCTTTGTGCAGCGCTGTCACCCGAAATCCGCCCCCGCCCCCACGCCCGACCCCGGAGTCGCGAGTCCCCACCTCGGAGCGCCGGCGAGGCGGTGCGCGCCGCCCCGGGCTGCGGGCGTCTCTCCGGAGCCGCGCGCCGCGCGCACACGACAGCAGGACCCGCGCCGCGAGCCACAGCCCCCTCTCGGCAGCCGCCGCCGCCGCCGCTTCCGCCT